GGCCCCCGATTTGTTATAGTGCATGCAGGTAGCGAATTGGGCTTTGTAGAGGATGCTGCTTTTTTTTTAGCTAAAAAAAACTCAGCGGACTATCATGATGAGATGGATGGTCCTATATTTGAACAATGGTTTAAGGAAAAGCTGCTTCCTAATCTTCCAGAGAAAACTGTTGTAGTGATGGACAACGCTTCGTACCATTCGAGGAGAGAAGAAGTAATTCCGACACAAGCCTTCAATAAAGATCAAATTAAGACGTGGTTGCTGGAGAAAGATATCTTTTTTGAAGAAGATTATTTGAAATCAGAGCTCATGGAAGTCGTAAACAGATACAAAGAAAAATACATAAAATATAAAATCGACGAGATGTGCAAAGAGAAAAATGTTGCCATTCTGAGACTACCTCCATACCATTGTGAGTTAAATCCAATGGAAATGGTATGGAGTCAAATCAAAAGACATTTTTAATATTACCTTAACGTTGACACTATTTCTTAGTGTAAATTATTGTGTATGTGGAACAACACATTGTTTTCCAAACACAAACCAAAACGCATCTCCTACTTAGAGGAAGATGGCAAACAAAGCTTAAATTAAATAATTAAATTTGTTATATTTTAATATCACCATGTGGCCGGCATTATTTTTGACAAGACAATTGTTAATTAAATCATTCTTGAGAATGCATATGGATAGATGGATGGATGGATGATATATATATATATATATATATATATATATATATATATATATATATATATATATATATATATGTAACGTATAGTGTGTATAAATGAATGGACACTTAAATAGAAAAAAGACTGGAATAACTACATAAGCAGAATGGGGGAGACACGTACGTGTGGTCAAAATAGCACGAGATAAATCATTAATCGGTAGAAGTATCGGCCGACCGCGCAAAAGATAGAGTAACAACCCTGTAATTGCGATACCCTGTATATTTCAAAATAATTTGAAAATGTAGCTTTTATCAACTTACAAATTAATAATTTAATTTTTTTTTAATTTTTTTACTCTTTCGCTGTAATATTTCGTTCCGTTAGGGTAATTCACCCTGTATACAAGGAAAAAAAATTATGTATTTAATTGTTGTTATTACTTACATAAAAATAAAATTAAAACTGCACTTGTTTTGAGTTAGTTATATCTTATTTAAATCGTTAATCAATATGTAATGTTAAACAATAGTGGAACTTAACTATTTTTATTAGACCTATAATAAACGCATACCTATATCTGTCAATTAAAGAAACAGCTATTTATAATGCATTATTTTGTATTCAACTATACATATCCCTTTATTTGTGAAATTAATTAACTACAACTACACAGTGCTGAATACGGTTCTGATTAGAATGAATCATATCGATCATCCGGAAGAAGAGGGTTACATCTCGAAAATTGTCAATTTTTGTTTTTTTATCTCAATGTACCTAAAATTTACTGTAGTTTTAAGGGAAAGAAGGGTACAAGTGAGTTTGCACGTAAACACCACGAGATGGAAGTTGTAACTATACTGAATTAACATAGATGGCGCCACAATTCGCAAGAACAAGGTTCCATTTTAGTTTGTTACCGACTTTGACAGTGTGTGCTTCAAGTTTGTTCACGAAGAAGGTTACATTTTGTGATATAACGAGAACCCGTGTGCGCTGTAGATTAAAAAGAGGTGCATTTTGTGTTGTAACGATTTTTAATACGAGTAAGTAGACATTTTTATAAGTTTTATTTAAGAAATAAGGTGACAATTCGATATGAAACCAAAACATATAATTACATTCCACTTCAAGAGGGTTACATCTCTAAATGTAACTTTCTTAAATACACTAATTGTAAGCATTATTGTTTATTTGTTTTGGATTTTATTTGTATTTTGAAATGTAACCCTATTGACTAAAATATAGTTATACAAAATGCTAGTTTATTTAGATAAGTAATTTACTTATACAAATAAAACTGTGTTCTTAAAAATTGCGGCAGTATTCTTAATTACTTTTATTTATTGCAACTTAGTATTCGCTGGTAAAAGAATGGAAGTATCAATTTTTACACGTTAATAGAAACATTATTAAGGTCGATTTATTTTTAGGGTGCAAAAATGAATCGTATTAATCTAATTATGAGTCTGGTAAAAGATCAGTCGTCAGATCAGTGGCACCACGTAGCTGACCAAAATAATCTAGGTAAAAAAGTGGATTTTTTAAATAATTTATATTGATTCTTACTTGTATTTTTTTTATTAGTAACCACCGCTGAGTCAAAAAGTAGTACTACCAATTTAGTACCAACTCAAATTGAAAGTTCGATTTCAGAAAGCGAAACCTCTTCTTTGTACTTGAAGGAAAATCATGGTAAGTTAGCCAGAGCTTTTCTCCAAGGTTAATTAATGTTTCAATATTTATTTGTATTACAGGTGTAAATATTCAAAGAGAACATCTTCTGAAAATTAATATTCCTATAGAATTAAATAGCTCCAAAAATAAACTACTAGATACTACTCTTAACGGTAAGTCAAAGTAGGTTTTAAAAATTTCGCCTACTTTATATTTAGAAAATATCATTTGCACTATTGCTGGGACTAAGCAAATAGAGACTACTGTAGACTGTTAGTTTAAGCTACATAATATGTTTATATCTCCAAACTTTATATTTTTCTTTTTAGATTTGCAAGAAAAAAATACCCTATCATCCTCAGATTCGTCATCGGATTCATCGTCAGATTCTGAATCATCTTCATGCCTTGATTCCAGATCTCGTTGTTCCGAAGTTTCTAGAAATGAACCTTTTTCTGAAGATGATAGCGTTAAGGATCCTAATTTTGATTCGTCAATTGATAGTAGCTCTTCGGAACGTGAAGAAGACAAGCTACAGTTACCTAAATCTAAAAAAAGAAAAGTAGAAAATCGCCAATCTGAAAACATTAAACCAACTAGAAAGAGAATTACAAATCCGGATACGTGGAAAAAAGTAGTAAACAAAAAGCTGCGAAATAGTGGCCAAGAGTATACTTATACGCGTGTGATTCAATCGGAAGATGGCAAAACCGTAAAAAGCAAAGTAACTAAGGAAAAGAGATCCCTCTTGCCACCTTGTGGCTTAAAATGCAAGTTAAAATGTTCAGAAAAAATATTGCCGGGTCAGCGAGAAAAAATTTTTAACGACTATTGGAATATGCAAGATATTGAAAAGCAAAGAGAATTTATATTATCCAATACGAAAACTGTAACACCGCGTTATAAATACACGAATGCACAGAATCCCAGAAAACCGAATAACGCCTACTTTTTTTTAATTAATGATAAAGCAATTCGTGTTTGCAAACTTTTTTTCATGGCTACCTTAGCAATTAACCATAAAGTCATTAGTACAGTTTTAAGGAAGCTGAATTTATGTGACAGCGGCAGGGTATTGGAAAAGGACAAAAGAGGAAGACATGGGAATCACCATAAAATTAGTGAAAATGTAAAAAATAATGTAAGGAATCACATCAACAGTATCCCACGCATTGAAAGCCATTACTGTAGGGCCAACACCAGTAAGGAATATATCGATGGAAGTAAAACGATTGCAGACTTGCACAGGGATTATACCAAACAATGTAATGAGCAGAACCTTCCCTGTGCTAACTATGTCATGTATAGTAAAATATTCAATGAAGAATTTAATTTGGCTTTACATTTACCCAAAAAAGATCAGTGTGAAGAATGTGTACAATATAGAAATTGTAATGATGAGCACAAACAGGATATGGAAGAAAAATATAAAAAACATATAAAAGAGAAGGATTTAAGTAGGAAAGAAAAGGAAAAAGATAAGAACAGTGATGACAAAACTAAAGTAGTGGTATTTGATTTGCAGGCAGTGTTGCCGTGTCCGATCGGAGACGCTTCGTGTTTTTATTACGTGTCCAAACTTAACGTATTAAACTTTACTTTATACGATATAAAATGCAACAAGGGCTCATGTTTTATGTGGCATGAAGGGGAGGCTAATAGAGGTGCCAATGAAATTGGTACATGCATTTTAACCTATCTTCAAGATTTAGCCCAACAAAATAAGGATGAACTTGACATTATATTTTATTCCGATAATTGTGTTGGGCAAAATAAAAATAGGTTCATAATAGCTATGTTTATCTACGCAATCTCTCATTTTAACATTAACTCTATAACGCACAAATTTTTTATACCTGGCCACTCACAAAATGAAGGGGATAGCATGCATGCTCTAATAGAGAAGGAGATTAAAAAATTTAGAAAATCCGGCCCTATATTTTCTCCAGATCAATATGCCTGCATAATTAGGAATTCAAAAAAGAAAGGTACAGCGTATAAACTAAAGGAATTATGTCACACTGACATTTACGATCTTAAAGCTTTAACATCGGAACTATTTGTAAACCTACCTAATAATGTAAAGCTGAATAATATCAAAATGTATAAGTTGGAAAAAAATCACCCTGGGATCTTTTTTTACAAAACCTCCTTTGAACAATCGGATTACAATGAGGTACAAATTATAAATTCAAGAAAACAAATTGATGTTAATAAAATCGAGCTCAAGAAAGCATTTTCTGTAAAACCTGGTATAACCGATGCAAAAAACAGGGATTGTTATCGTTAATTGAAAAAAAACATTGCGTACCCCCTTATTATATTAATTTTTACAAAAATTTGTGAACTATTTTTATGTTAATGAAAAATTCCTTTTGTTTCGAGCGTTAGTCTGTTTATTTGTACGAATAGTTGTAAGTAAATTATGTATGATAATACTAAAATAAATATTTCGTTGATCTCAAACTATTTTTTTTTGCTTTTATGGTTTAATGTCAGACGGTTCCATAATTTGTCTACGATGCAACCACAAATTAGAAAAAAAAGAACCGTTATTTTATGGGAAAGAGAGTTACATCTTTCAAACTCTCCCTAGCTTTAATTTTCTGGAAATATGTATATACATCATCTTAAAGTACTTATAAAATCTTAACTACAAAATGAAAATGGTAACTTGACACTCTGTAATTTAAATGAAATAAATATTTTTATTTCACATAAAACTTAAACTGGCTCTCCTGAAAAATATTGTTTTTTGAGATGTAACCCTCTTCCTCCGGATGAACGATATATCGACAATCTAATTGCAACGCATTCTTGAGAGTTTTGGCAACACTGGTCTCCATAAGCGTAATGTTATTTTCTTAAAGTGGAATGAAATATAGTAGAGTGTTCATACACAAGAGCGTAATGTAAACTTAAAACTACTAAATACTAGGTGCTTTCGTAAACATGTTTGGGAAACATGGTTTGCTTAATAAAACCAGTCAAAATGGACTTAGGGTTGCACAACTTGCAACAGCAAATAATTATGTAGTTGTCAGCATTAACTTTCAGAGAAAACATATCCATAAAGGAACATGCAAAACACCAGGAACCAATAAAGCCAATCAAATTGACCACATCCTCATCTCAAAAGATGGACAACAGACATAACTAATGTCAAAACGTATTGCGGGGCCAACTCTGACTCAGATCATTATCTTGTGGGGGCAAAATTGCGGCAGAAAATTGCGACAGTGGCAAAAGGGAAAAATAGCCAAATTAAAAAAATGGAATGTTGGATTCAAAAGTCCAACAAAGACACAAGAATATCAAAATACTCTCCAAATAAAACTCAACAGAATATGAGAGGAAGATATTGTTGAGGAAACTGTCAGGCGAGGAAAGGCAAAGCAACTTTTAATGTTACATCTTCAACGACGTTCCAATATCCTAAATCTGCCTTTTCAGTTGAGACTCAGGATCCGAAATATAAACGGAGAAAAGCTATCAGTTTCTCAAGGGGCAACTCCAACTATAAAACCAAGATGTTCTTTTTGCCCTGTAAGGAAGAACAGGTTTACCCAACATTATTGTGCTAACTGTAAGTTGCCGATATGTAAAGAGCACACTGGTTTAACAATTTTACTTGGCACCACTGCCTAGAAAAGGAAGAAATCTAATTTTATGCGTAATGCGTACATTTTTTTTGGAATAAATCCTTTTATTTGTTTTGTTCTATAGTGTATTTTTATGTATGAGAGAGTAATAAAACAATAAATTATGTATGCAAATCCCTAAACTGTTGATAAGGGTGACTCAATGAAAAACAGATATTTGTCAACAAGTTTATAGAAGTATATAGGAAAACAATTTTAAATTGAGTATGACCACCAGGTATAAAGGTTGGATCAGAATAGAATACAATAGTTGTGAGGGTTACTAATCCCTAAATAAGGTTGCCAATGTCGGAGTGATGGAGGTTAACAGGTACTAATGAATTTGCAAGAAATGTCAGATGTTTATTTTATTGGTTATATATAACCAATAAAAGTTTAATAAGTACCTACCTATTTGCAAAATAAAGTTTAATTCTTTAGATAAAATAAAACGTTTTATTTTATCTGAAATAAGTGCATTCCACGAAGTAAGGGTTTCAACAATCAAACATTTAATTCTGTAATTCCAGGAATCTACGACAGTAATTGACTAGATAATTACCTTCTAAACTTATTCCACAGAAAATGTGATAGTGGGTTTTCCATTTTGTAGGACGGTCCAAGTGGCGTATTCAAAATTCTTAACAGTTCACTAAAAGTAGGTACTTCAGTTGCAAGGTGCAGTTTATTGTGTATACTAGTGTTATGGAAAATTTGGAAGTGCCGTGTAAACGCCGAAAAATTGGTCCTTTAACAGTTAATGAAAAAACATTAATATTTAATTGTTTTAAATCATTTACAGACAAACGTTTATGTGAAAGTGTTGATGAGACCGTTGAGTTAGTTAGCAGTTCACTTGGTGTTGGGAAATCTACGATTTACAGAGTTATTAAAGAAGAGAAATGTGGTAGTTTTCAAATGCCACGTAATGCTCCAGGGAAACCAAAATTTCAAATAGAATATCATTTTAAAGAAGGACTTCGACGGAAAGTGCATGAATTCTTCTTTAGACAAGAATTTCCAACATTGGATAAAGTTCTTGTCTCAGTTCGAGATGATAAGGATTACCCAGAAATGAGTCGAAGTACGTTATGGAAACTTTTAAAAGAAATAGGCTTCCGCTGGAAAAAGAATCCCAGAAAGTCTATTTTATTAGAAAGAAGCGATATTGTCATATGGAGAAGACATTTTCTAAGAACCATAAAGGAAATGAGAAACCAAAAAAAAAAATATTTTATCTTGATGAAACATGGATCAACGAGGGTCATACACCAAATAAATTTTGGCAGGATGAAACTGTTACAAGTCAAAGGCACGCTTTTGTAAATAACTTATCTACTGGTTTAAACCCACCATCAGGAAAGGGACGCAGGCTGATAATAGTAGGTACACATTGGCAGTTCAGACGGTTTTGTTGAAGGTGGTTTATTAACTTTTGAATCAACTCGTACCGGTGACTACCATGAAGACATGAACGCTGATGTCTTTCAAGAATGGTTCGAACAAATGATAGATCTTCTTCCTAAGAACTGTGAAATAGTAATGGATAATGCAAGTTATCACTCCAGACTTATAGAAGGACTGCCCACAACCAAGTGGTTAAAAAAGACTTGCAGAATTGGCTGAGTTCAAAAAATATTACGTACCATCCCGGATCTATAAGAAAGGAACTTTATTCGTTGTGTGCCCTTCATAAAGAAAAATTTAAAAAATTCGAAATTGATGAAATTGACAAAAATCGTGGAATGACAGTACTTAGATCCCCACCATATCATTGTGAATTAAACCCGATTGAACTGGTATGGGCACAGCTAAAAAGTGAAGTTTCAAGAAAAAATACCACTTTTAAAATTCATGATGTTAAACAGTTGTTTTTGGAGGCCGTAAATAATGTAAAACCTGAAAACTGGGAAAAGGCAGTAAATCACACTATTAAAGAAGAGGAAAAAAATGTGGAAGCTGGACAATATTACTGATAAAATGATCGAGCCAGTTATTATAAATCTTGGTTCTGAAAGTTCATCTTCTGAATCTGATTTGGATTTGTAACAAGTAGCTGTAAGTTTTATATTAATATTTTTATTCATCTATTTAACATACCTTAGACGGTTTTAAAAACTCTTTTTCTCTTTTGTAATTTTTAAAAATTAAAAAAAAATGTGAATTTTTTAAAACCCTTTTTAATGTAGGCCAGTCAGTTCTAATATAGTGTGTGATAAAAGAGGTCACTTTTGTTTACATACACATAACACTTTATATCACTGAAATAATTCATTTATTTTTTACAATTATTCAAAGTAATTTTTCAATTATTCTTGAGCACGCCTATGGAGTGGTCGGATATACCAGTTAAAATTATGCTAATTACTCTCTCGTTCATAAAAATAAACTATAGGGTAATGTGTATATTTTTTTGTTTACCTAGTAGTTTTTTTGCAGTTTTGTTTTAAAAAAATATAAATTTATCGTTTTTTTACTTAATAGCCAATAAACTTAACCAATAGGTACTAATGACTCATTTATTTAACCTATACCCATATGTTAGATAAAATCGAACACGCGAAAGATGGCGTAATTTTTTGAGGTGCGAGTGATGGAGGCTTAAAGTCAGGAAGACATAATATTCCTATCCTGATGATAAGCTAGAAATATAAATATATTTTTGAATAAGTACTTACATCTTCCAAAAGTTCTAGTTCGTATTCGTAATGACCAATACCACCGTAAACTCCCACTCCAATTATCGATATTCCAGGACGATCAACTTGAAAACAAATTGCATCGGGTGAACCATTACCTGTATTCCAAGTTCTAGATTGATTTGTTCTAGTAAAACGAGACGGCGTCATATGTAAAATTCTGCCGTAATTTCCTTGTAGATCTTCCTGTAATAAAATTTAGTTTTACAAACATTTTGTAAATTAAAAACATAGTAGGTACGTAAAAATATTTTTAAAATAAGAGGTAAGAGAATATTTTTAACACAACTAAGACAAGTTAGTCCGGAAATGATGGAGTGTTTTGCTAATCAAGGTTCAAAACTAGTATTGGCCTTTGCTGATGACATAGATACAGTGCTTCATTCTTCAATAGAAGTGCGAGAGGTGTCTTCACAAGTCGAGGTCCAAAACATCCAAAAAAATCATAAATTGGGATTTTAACTGTAACGTATAACCAAGAGTTGCTTTTGACGATATGATCATTCATGTTCTACAAAATATGACATACATATGACTACATCAGTCCTAATCAAAATTAACACATGCTTTTAAGTTTGTTTCCAAATCTAAAACAAATATATTTCAAAATTTCTCTGTGTCTTGAACTCTCTCTCTTGATCTCTGTGTCTTGAACAGCTGGGAACTTGAAGTTCCCAGCTGTTCTCCGAGTGTAGAGGTTCTCTCTCACCGGCTCTGGAACCCGATTGAGCCATGTGTTACCTCTAGTCAAATTTAATTTAATACTGAACATCACAGTTATTTTACAACACAATGTACAATCTTTCATAACAAAATGTAATTTAAAGGGTTTTTACCCTAGTATTTTGGTGGCTCAGGCATTGTGACCTAGCATTTTTCGATTTTGAAAACCTGATGATGGACTGTGTGGTCCGAAAACGTTTGTTTTATTGATGTGGCCCTTTTAAGGGTTTTTTAAATAAATATACCCATTTACAAAGATTAACCTCTTTTTGTTATACGTGGTATACAGCCAGCTACAGGAATTTTTCCCTGTGAACTTTTCTTAGTTTGAAATATTCTAAAAATATATATTATATGACTGCTAATTTTTGCATAAGTTTACAAAATAGGCACTTAAAAACAGTGCTGTAAATGCGAACCTCTCTTTTTCCTCGTATTTCGTACCCCCTAGAAATCTAATGGATTATGACTATGACTGGTGTAGAAATAATTCACAGTTAAATAAATATATAAATTTATTTCATTTTTAAAATAGATTGATTAACAAACTGTTTACAAATCTGACTTTTAAGTAATTTCAATACAAAAATATCAAAATAAATTAGCTTTTTCATAAAAGGCGTAGGCCTACGATTCTTTTAAATTTGAATCTAGTTTAATGGCAGAAGTCGCATATCTAATCATCTTTTTCAGCACTGGTACAATCAACATGTGCCCAATATTGACACATTAGATATTTGATCCACTGTTCACCTGTCACCGACTTGTACCATTGTTCGTTGCAGAACATATACGTCACACCTGATTCATCCGGTGTTTGTCCTGGTCCAACAACGAATCCGATTAAAGAGACTGATTTCAGAGACGAATGATCTTTTTCCTCAGATGAAGATCCCTTATGTATATCAAAATATAATTGTCTCTTGACCTGAGAGCTACGTTTATGCTGTTTACACTCTTCCTGTAAGTTTTCTTTATTTTCAGCCTCTAACATCGTCTTATTTGTTCCAGTCTTCTTCCATTTTCCTTAGGCGTCTTTATGTGTTTGATCTTTTTTTCCTGACAGATCCTTTTTACCAACCAATTTCTACCTCTAAGGCTACTTTATAAGGAGACGAAGTGATTTTTTTATCAGTTTGGGCACAGGTAAGATTTGAAAGGGGCTTGTGTAAACTGGAGAAGGATTTGAAAGAGAACTTGATGAGGGGAATGGCGGAGATAGGGTAGGAGGTTCTATCGAATTGAGGTGGACGCTTGTTCGTGTACAACCCATGAAGGAGAATGTGTCACCAGGTGAGAAGATTCAGGATTTTCCTCATCAAGTATGTTGTTCGAAGAAGATTCAGCATGATTAGATGTACAGCCGTATTCATCTAGATCAATAGGCTTCTCTTTTTGGACTTCTGCAATGAACTCGCCATCAGAAAATTTGTTTTTATCCAGTGGAAAAATTCCAGTGGTCTTGAACCTATTGATGGCTATTTCTGTCGTTTTACACTTTATGTAGACCTTGCCAAACAGCTCCATTACGTCAAATCCTGTAGAGGACGTTGGTTTATTAACAACCATTGCCTAATCTCCTGAATATAATAGGACTTTAATGGAGACAAACAAGACTTATGTAAGGTCTGCAACTTATGAGTTGAATGAGGTGGTAAGGAGGTGATTGTAACATGGTTCTGACTAGCCTTCTCGATAATCTCAATATTTCTGGTAAGACTTGAATGCCCGTCAAAGACTAGAAGAACAAGTGATTCAGTTGTATGTTTTATAGTGCTCAAAAAATGGTCGAACTATTTTGTAAACAGTTATGTTCTAATCCATCCTGATCGCTCCACGTGAAAGACAGCACCTACAGCACCTTTTGCAACTGAACATTCATATATTTCCGAAGAAACATTACCATGGGTAGAACATAGTCGCCACCAGCATGCATACAGACTACAATTTTTATTAAGGCACCTCTTTCTGCTGATGTAAGCCTACCTGCCTTTTTTAATGACTGGTTCTACTTTACTCTGAACTACTGTAAGCTTTCATCTACGTTGTTCTGAAAATTCTGTTTGGTGGATAGCTGTGCTTTTCAAACGCATATTCAATGTTATCAAAAAACATTGACACATTTTCTTTGTTGAATCCTACAGCTCTTGTTGTTGTGTTTAAGAAAAGGGTGCGTCATTCCTTTCAGCTAGTTGATAGGCCATCCGCCGAAGGTCTCGCCTAGTCTAACAAAAAATGTAGATTCCATGACCAAACAATACTTAACTAACTGTTTCTCCAATTCGGGAGGCAATATAGTAGGCCTTACTGTCTTAATAGAAGCTTCTTTTGCTGGTTTTCCATATTTTTCCATTGCAAAACGCATCAGCGTGGTCTTGAAGTCTTGGTAGCCTTCTTCTATCCCATTCTTTTCACTACAGATCAAAACTAACCTCACTCAAAAACTTAGCGGTAGAATTGTTTTTTCGTCATTTTAAACCCTACACTTAATTTACTACATATTGCGTTAGTATTAAATTCTTACCTTTACGAAAACTATCGTAGAAAATGATAAACAAGAACACTGCAAATATTCCAGAAGACACAAAAATAAAAAACACTCGTCACTGTCTGAACTCAGTCACTATCGAGGAAAACAGCTAATCAGTCCTGCCCACAGCCAAATGATTCATGAACTACAGACTCTATGTCTACATGTTATCAGTAGTAGTCCTAGATTTTCCAAAGCTGCTTTGACTTGAGCTAAGCAGTTTATTTTCGATCGCATTTCACTAAAATATTACTATTTTTCTAATACAATTTCATTTAAAAGCTTAACAAGGTATATATTTAATATTTCTAGTCGTCCATATAGGTTTCTTAAAATAATAGTACCTATGAGTTAAATTTTTATGATATATTTTCATATTGTTATAGACACAAATAAAACTTGAAGTAAACCATGCCTACTCCTACTACATAGAAGAACTACATTAGTACTACATAGTACTATATAAACCATACTTACTTCAGAAGAGCTACACTGATGTACCAATTCGGCTAATACTCTTGCTAGCAAATGACAACAGAACTTCGATAAATCCGAAGACGACGAAGTTGTACTTTTATGCAAACTTCTTACAACGGGGTTTGAAGCCAATGTTATAAGGCATTCCAATACATCACACCATTGCCATGCAATATTACTGGAAGTAGATTCAACCTATAACAAACGAATGACCTGTTTCATTATAATTATTAACAGGTAAACTAGCTGTTATACTGTATCCAGAAATTTAGTGTCTCATTATAACAGTAATTTTAATAACAGCTGTAAAACTGAATAATCCCTTGTAAATACTCTATTGTTGTATAATTATTAAAGCTACCCAAGCAGAATAGACTACCGATAGACCGACTTAATTACAAATATATACAACAAGGCAACAACAACTATTAAGCTAATGAAACAAACGGAGCCTATTAAAATAAACCGAGGAGTAAGACAAGGAGATACCATCTCGCCCAAGCTATTCAACCAAGCGCTAGAAGATGTTTTCAAACGACTACACTGGGATGGCTTGGGAATTAACATAAACGGGCAAAATCTGAATCATTTACGATATGCTGATAATATTGTATTAATAACAGAAAAAAGTGAAGAATTACAAAGAATGATGGAAGAACTAGATAGAGAATCGACAAAAATTGGACTCAAGATGAGTTACAGTAAAACAAAAACCATGACTAATCAACCAGAAGAACTAATAATTACAGTGGCACAAACAAGAATAGAACAAGTAAAAGAGTATCTGGGCCAAATCACTAAATTAAATAAAGAAAATCAGACCGAAGAAATAAAGAGAAGAATAAGATTGGCCTGGGCATCATTCGGAAAACTGTCTTATATTCTAAAGAATTCAAAATACCCCCAATACCTAAAAACGAGAGTTTTCAATCAATGTATACTCCCTGTCCTCACTTATGGCTCTCAGGCATGGACGTTTACAAAGGAAAATATGGAAAAAATACCAAAGACAGAAAGATCCATGGAAAGACAAATGCTGAACATTAAACTATCAGACAGAAAAAGAAACGAATGGATCCGTAATAAAACAAAAGTGAAAGATGTCTCAACCCAAGTAGCAAAGCTTAAATGGAAGTTCGCCGGACACACCCTAAGGCAGAAAGATGAAAGATGGACTAAGACAATTATACATTGGAGACCATGGAATCACAAACGAAAAAGGGGAAGACCACAAATGCGATGGTCAGATGACCTGAAGAAACACGCCGGGTCAAAATGGATGCAAATTGCCGAAGATAGAGGGGCATGAAAGAAGGAGGAGGAGGCCTATATCCAAGGATGGATGTTAGGGCTGTATAGATAGATAGATAGAGACCCAAGCTGCCAGGACCGGCATATAACCAAGTCAACTGTATGTAGGTAGGTACATATAATCAGATCAAATATTATTATTCAAGCGTAATGTCAAAAAACTCTTACAAATTTCCCATAATTATTGCATTCTTTTATTAATTATTATTTTAAGTCTCATCGAAGAAAATGCGCCCAAAATTATGAAGATCTTAATTTAGTCAAATTAACTGGACCGGCCGTGGAAATTTAAGTTTTGGAAAAACGGGTAATATTTCAAACAGCACATTCCAACTGACAAACCCGTATATACAGTTATGATGAGTAAACGTTTAACTGAATTGACCTATTAACAAATTTCTTGGAATTTATATAACTTTCTACCTGTTATTTATCGTTAATTGTTTTTTTAATTTAAGAGATAGTTTCAGATCTCTTAATAAGAGAGTTGTACGATCACAAACTAACACTTAAAAGTCTGCTTTCGATGGAATTGGTTGTTAAGTCGTTTGAGTGTTCAGTTTGTGCAAAAAATTAGTTGAGTATTGTGGTAAAAGTGTTTATTTTTAAATTTAGAGTGTGTACACTTGGCGGTGAATATACGTAAGTCAAATTTACCTTTGTTTTATGAAACAATGTGGCGTCCCTGGAGTCTAGAGGATAATAGGGCAATTTCGCCAGTTAATGAACCGAAACCAAATCGACAATGATGCGATTATACCATTTTCATAAAAGTTACACAATTATGTACTCACCTGACTCTTGTAGCTCATTTGCTCAACCAAGATGGGGTAATGATGTGAGTCCGAATTACTCATCATTGGTAATCCGGTGTTGTCAGAAGGACTTAAGCCTCTATGTAAGCTACTTTCCGAACAAATACTTTGTCCAATTAGTGGAAACGTACTTCTTAATCTGACAGTAGGAGCACAAAGAGCACACAGTATTGCGCTCAGTAATCTTTGACTGTTGTTATAAATGTGTTGGCCATTGTCCTAAAAATCAGAGAAATTATTATTTTTTAAACATAAAACAGCTATATACAGGGTGCGGCATTAGTGCAAGAAAGTGCAATTACTCATTTATCTGACGTCGTAAATCTTTTTTTACACTTTTTTATATGAAAGATTCTATACACAGTTTGTACAGCAAAAATTCCGATGCACGTAATTCGCTTCATAGTAAGTGACGTCACATGATACCAACACATAATATTAAGTCGTGGGTCTGTTCCTTCTTAAAATCTTTTAGCCAAGGACACTGTAATTACAGCCACTACTTATATTTTATTATATACGCAAAGGAATAGTATTTGGATATTTCTATTAGTGTAAACTTAAAATCATACACCATAACTTGTTTCATTTAATTTGTATAAGTGGATTATCAATTTTTAGTAGTAATTTTTTAATTTTACTTAATTTTGTTTAATTTTATTAATTTTGTTTAATTTTACTTAATGTTGTTTAATTTTATTTAATTTTGTTTAATTTATTTTAATTTTGTTTAATTTTATTTAATTTTATATAATTGTATTGAATTTTATTTAGTTTTATTTAATTTTACTTAATTTTTGGGTATACTTTTAATTGTATTTAATTTTTATATTTTTTTATCATTTTGTTTAATTTTGTGTAATATTATTTTATTTAATTTTACCCAACTTAACATAATATTTAATTTCACTTAATTTTGCCTAGTTTTATTTAATTTTTACAATTTTTATTTTTTATAATTTTTTACATTTTTTTTTAAATTTTATATACTTTTTTATAATTCTATTTATTTTTATTTAGTTTTATTTAATTATATTAAACTTTATTCGTTTAATTGTATTTAAAGGTAAAGGAAAAAAATGATTAAAATTTGAGACAATAGTTGTAACAAAACATTGCAAAGTAAATAAGTAACGAAAAAGATTTTAGTCTATGGTATCTATCAGATGTAGGATCTCGGTGTTTGTTTTTCGTGACCTGGTTATCAATAAACCAATTTTTTCCGTTGTCCCTACGGGATTTAATAAAATCTGTTCTTGTTAGAACAAAATTATTGTGTTTTATTTCAAAAATATCACGTAAGAATTTAAATAATCGTTATAAAGAGATGGTAGGTTCTCTAAAAAAAATATGTGACCTATTGGATTTAAAATGGATTCAGGATTTTTTTATACTTTGGCAACTATGTCAACTTCGATCTCTGTCAATGATAATGACCTGAAACGGTAAGTAAATTAGATGGACTGTAGAATGTTATGCTGTTAGACATTTAAAAAAGGATCAGTCTAGAGAATGTAATGTAGGATTAGGGTACCACAATAGATCTGCCCCCCAAATGCCTCCTCATTAAATCTATCTATCTATTTAAGTTTTTAAAGCCGTATTTTTTTATTCTGATTTTACCTATTAGTCTAGACGGGATCTGTTTTGGATTGGACATTTTCCATAGGAAGCTATTTTTTTGCTGGAATTCCTTCAGGATACGCCCAGTATCGATAATCACGATATGCGCCAGTCGCAAACCCTGTGCTAAATTTTTTATTTAACAAAATCTGAAAACAATTGAAAACTTCTCATTTTTTTGCTCTTATTTTCATTTAAAATTCGGAAAATATTTATCCTAGAGAAAAAATTATAAGAAGTTAAAAGTTTCGTTATTCAATTTTACACAATATTTCGTTAGCTAGAAATTGAAAATTTAATGTTTATTATTAAAAAAATAGCAATAATTAAAAAAAAAAGTACGAAAAAATGAAGTTAATCCTTTAAATGTTTTCGACTTTCTAAACTTGACTTACAAGTTCCATATTCCGCCTAGAAAAACTTTTTAATATTTTTAAAACGTGTGCTAAATTTTTTTAAGATCGGTCGGATAGGTTTTGCATAATAATTTTGCCATCCAGCCTACTGGAAAAAAATCGCCAATTTTCAAATTCATAGTAGGCCCTAAATAAGGCCCTCAGATAGTTGCATTTTTTTACATATAAAGGAAGTCTCAAGCTTTCAAACGCTTTTTATAAAATTCAAATCGGTTCACTAGGAGAGCCTAAAAATGTTTTTAAAGTTATAAACAATTTTTAGGCTTATAAACAAATTAAATAACTTTACGAGCTTTAAACATATCAATTTCAAAATGTATACACTTAAAGAACATTAAAAGACGCTTCTTTTAAAAAACAAAAAGATACATTCGGCTTACTGGTTGCCAAGATATTAAAGGTCAAATTTGGCATACATTTGCCATGTAACCATAAGTGATAGAGGGCTCGTTTTTAAACAAATACCCTCGTTTTGCCAAATACTTTTTATATGAAAAGTTTTACGTAATGCGCTTCATGGCAACATCCATAAAAAAGACAAATAAAAAACCGTTTTCGCGTAAAATGTCGCTCGGAATGCATGAGAGGTGGTGGTGAGGGACATTAACTTCAAATGTGAATCGGTGAGTATCAAGTAGGGGACCATCAGTTTGTTTAATTTTGGGTTTTTAAATAAAAACAAAAGTAAAGTGCTCCAAAATCTGTAAGGGCTTGTATTGAAGGGATGTTATACAAGTAATTGCATTTTTTCTTCATGTTTTTTTTTGAGCTTGCAATTTATACATTGAAGTAAATTGTTACTTTTAGTAAACAAATATGTATTTATAAATTGTTAATAAATAATTTGAATTGTTAAAACGAAGAAAAATTTTTTTTGTAAAAATCAAACATTTTAAAATAATTAACATTAAAATAATTTATTTCTGCAGTTTTATCATAATAATGACATTATTAGATTTGAGAATATATTTTGATTCGAAAGTGACGTGTATATTGTATATTGACGTGTTATTATACTGCTGTGTAATGCTCGAAACTGGTTTTTTTTTGAGCTTGCAATTTATACATTGAAGTAAATTGTTACTTTTAGTAAACAAATATGTATTTATAAATTGTTAATAAATAATTTAAATTGTTAAAACAAAGGCAAATGAAAAAAAAATTTTCTTTTCATAAATAAACTTTATTTTGACTCAATCTTCAATAATTTTTTTAAGTCTTTTTCTTTTTTTGCAAGGACAAGAATCTTCAGGTCTTATTTCTTCCTGAAAACCTTCATTTTCCATTTCAATATCTTCATCCTCGATCTGCAAATTTAATGTTTCTTCTTCTTCATTTGTAGCTTTATCTTGTGCCTCCCAAAAATCTAAGGAATCCATCGACTCCATATCCATATCTCGTTCAACTTCTTCCAATATTTTACTGTGATCAATATTTTTACATGTTTGACCATTGCAGTGAAGACAATAGTCACAACATTTGAGACCATGTTTGATACAACTGCATGTTTTTGTGCAAAGTTTTTTACATTTGCAACTAATATTTCTGAATAATCAGTCAGGTAGTAATACTTGCTCAGTTTGTATTGGCTCAAGACCATTTTGAGTTAGTTCCCACCCCCACTCAGTAGCATTGAGGTTATTTCCAAGCCACTACTGTACTTGGAAATATACACGAAGCGAGTGTTGCTCAGCTGCAGATTGTGTAGGTGGCAGCATGGACAATTGAAAAGTTTTATTTTTGCAACCTTTTTTAAAAGACAAGTAGCGAATTTTATTCAATGTAAAATCACACTTTGAGTGGCCCATATACAATGCTGATATAATTTTGCATCCGCTGCTTTTAATTTCTTCGTTAGTGGCACTTTTTTCATTAAAAATGGTTGCTTCTTGCCACATATGCCAGAAAATGCTTTTAAAAAGCCCACTAAATTTCACTTATTTTAAGTGCATTATTGAAGGAGTTGTAGTCATAAATTTCTTCTGATTTTTTTCCTTTGCTAGGTTTCCAGAAAAAAATATTTTTATTTTCATTTTATTAGTTTTTGAAATACAAAATATTTTACTGTTAAAACACACGGATTTGACAATATAACTACTATATAATAGCGTTGAACATATGATCAAACCACTGAAAAACGTGTACAGCACGCCTTCAATACAAGCCCTTAACAGATTTTGGAGCACTATTTGTTTTTATTTCAAAACCCGAAATTAAACAAACTGATGGTCCCCTACTTGATACTCGCCGATTCACATTTGAAGTGAATGTCCCTCACCACCACCTCTCATGCATTCCGAACGACATTTTACGCGAAAACGGTTTTTTATTTGTCTTTTTTATGGATGTTGCCATGCAGCGCATTACGTAAAACTTTTCATATAAAAAGTATTTGGCAAGACGAGGGTATTTGTTTAAAAACGAGCACTCTATCACGTATGGTTACATGGCAAATGTATGCCAACTTTGACCTTCAATATCTCGGCAACCAGTAAGCCGAATGTATCTTTTTGTTTTTTAAAAGAAGCGTCTTTTAATGTTCTTTAAGTGTATACATTTTGAAATTGATATGTTTAAAGCTCGTAAAGTTATTTAATTTGTTTATAAGCCTAAAAATTGTTTATAACTTTTAAAAAATTTTTAGGCTCTCCTAGTGAACCGATTTGAATTTTACAAAAAGCGTTTCAAAGTTTGAGACTTTCTTTATATGTAAAAAAAATTGCAACTATCTGAGGGCCTTATTTAGGGCCTACTATGAATTTGAAAACTTGCGATTTTTTTTCCAGTAGACTGGATTGCAAAATTATTATGCAAAACCTATCCGACCGATCTTAACAAAATTCAGCACACATTTTAAACATATTAAAAAGTTTTTCTAGGTGGAATATGGAACTTGTAAGTCAAGTTTAGAAAGTTGAAAACATTTAAAGGATTAACTTCATTTTTTTGTACTTTTTTTCCAATTATTGCTATTTTTTTAACAATAAACATTAAATTTTCAATTTCTAGCTAACGAAATATTGTGTAAAATTGAATAACGAAACTTTTAACCTCTCATAATTTTTTCCCTAAGATCAATATTTTCCGAATTATAAATGAAAATAAGAGCAAAAAAATGAGAAATTTTCAATTGTTTTCAGATTTTGTTAAATAAAAAATTTAGCACAGGGTTTGCGACTGGCGCATATCGTGATTATCGATACTGGGCGTATCCTGAAGGGATTCCAGCAAAAAAATAGCTTCCTATGGAAAATTTCCATTATGGTCTGAATTTCTACAGATGCCGCCTAGTCTATATTACTTATAAACTGCTCGGATCTATGATTTCTGTTTTTAAGTACTGAAGAGTTAGATAAAAATATTATTTATAGAATGAAAAGTTTACATATAACACATTTTTTATGTATACCAAGAAGTATTCTTTTAAATTTTGTAAGCAGTATAAATAAATTAACATACCTTATTGCATTCACTAAGCAGGTCACACAGACAGGTCCATTTTAGATGAGCTGTTGGATAGAAAGCGTGAAAACATGACACGAATGTATTATGACATTCATCCAGAATGTTATTCATCAAACTGATGCTCAAAGTGTTGCTCCTGCTGGACTTCTTGTTCTGCATAACTATCGGTATGTTATCCGATAATATTTGCTTTAGTAGCGTTCTAACTTCCCCTATACATTCCGCAAGCTGAACGTTTTCCAATGACATTTTCTTGTTAATATGTCGAGGATATATTTCATTGGTATAAGTACATATTAAGCGCAAACTAGATCTGCTTATATAAACCAATCTTTCTAGTTCTAAACTGGTATAAGACACTTTATGATTATGTCCTTCCACGATACCCCATTTAAATGTATTCCATGACCACTGCAGTAGAGAAAGTAAACTCTGGAAGCATTCTCTTGTTACAGTTCTTGAAAAATCTTTAGATAATATGTGAATAGGTTCGCTTATATCGCTTTGTCTCGGAGAAGATTGATTTTCAGGCGTTACTATTTTATAAAGAAGTTGTGGGATCTGTCCAGCGTTCACGTCTGTGCCGTTGTTCGACTTCTTGGATGATTTGAAATAGAAGAGAATTTGATCTTCTGTTGTAACCATAGTTTGTCCAGAGGATCCACAATCGCTGCTAGGGCCACTGATGCGACACCAGGCGACATACCAGCGATGTGCCTAAAAATAAACAATAAGAGTAAATATCAAACCAATCAGGGTGGTGCAGTAGAGATGTCAACGCTCGAGGTAAGTCTTTTATGATTATATTATTAGAAAAGATTTGTATATCTTAAATAGAAGCACAAAACCAACCTTTATTAATGTTTGTAGTCAAACAATCATAGATATAACTCTAGAATTAGCTGAAATATCGGATAAAATCGGTCTGACCACCGCTGGCTGACCTATACTATTAATCTGAAAAAAGCCTGATTAAACTCGCGACCCTAGGAGGACGGATGTAGAACTCTCAACCGACTCTTATAGTGTATTTTTATGTATGAGAGAGTAATAAAACAATAAATTATGTATGCAAATCCCTAAACTATTGATACGGGTGACTCAATGAAAAACAGATATTTGTCAATAAGTTTACAGAAGTATATAGGAAAACAATTTTAACTTGAGTATGACCACCAGGTATAAAGGTTGGAGCAAAATAGAATACAATAGTTGTGAGGGTTACTAATCCCTAAATAAGGTTGCCAGTGTCGGAGTGATGGAGGTTAACAGGTACTAATGAATTTGCAAGAAATGTAAGATGTTTATTTTATTGGTTATATATAACCAATAAAAGTTTAATAAGTACCTACCTATTTGCAAAATAAAGTTTAATTCTTTAGATAAAATAAAACGTTTTATTTTATCTGAAATGAGTGCATTCCACGAAGTAAGGGTTTCAACAATCAAACATTTAATTCTTTAATTCCAGGAATCTACGACAGTAATTGACTAGATAATTACCTTCTAAACTTATTCCACAGAAAATGTGATAGTGGATTTTTCCATTTTGTAGGAAGGTCCAAGTGGCGTATTCAAAATTCTTAACAGTTCACTAAAAGTAGGTACTTCAGTTGCAAGGTGCAGTTTATTGTGTATACTAGTGTTATGGAAAATTTGGAAGTGCCGTGTAAACGCCGAAAAATTGGTCCTTTAACAGTTAATGAAAAAAAATAATATTTAATTGTTTTAAATCATTTACAGACAAACGTTTATGTGAAAGTGTTGATGAGACCGTTGAGTTAGTTAGCAGTACACTTGGTGTTGGGAAATCTACGATTTACAGAGTTATTAAAGAAGAGAAATGTGGTAGTTTTCAAATGCCACGTAATGCTCCAGGGAAACCAAAATTTCAAATAGAATATCATTTTAAAGAAGGACTTCGACGGAAAGTGCATGAATTCTTCTTTAGACAAGAATTTCCAACATTGGATAAAGTTCTTGTCTCAGTTCGAGATGATAAAGATTACCCAGAAATGAGTCGAAGTACGTTATGGAAACTTTTAAAAGAAATAGGCTTTCGCTGGAAAAAGAATCCCAGAAAGTCTATTTTATTAGAAAGAAGCGATATTGTCATATGGAGAAGACATTTTCTAAGAACCATAAAGGAAATGAGAAACCAAAAAAGAAAAATATTTTATCTTGATTAAACATGGATCAACGAGGGTCATACACCAAATAAATTTTGGCAGGATGAAACTGTTACAAGTCAAAGGCACGCTTTTGTAAATAACTTATGTACTGGTTTAAACCCACCATCAGGAAAGGGACGCAGGCTGATAATAGTACACATTGGCAGTTCAGACGGTTTTGTTGAAGGTGGTTTATTAACTTTTGAATCAACTCGTACCGGTGGCTACCATGAAGACATGAACGCTGATGTCTTTCAAGAATGGTTCGAACAAATGATAGATCTTCTTCCTAAGAACTGTGTAATAGTAATGGATAATGCAAGTTATCACTCCAGACTTATAGAAGGACTGCCCACAACCAAGTGGTTAAAAAAAGACTTGCAGAATTGGCTGAGTTCAAAAAATATTACGTATCATCCCGGATCTATAAGAAAGGAACTTTATTCGTTGTGTGCCCTTCATAAAGAAAAATTTTTAAAGTACGAAATTGATGAAATTGCCAAAAATCGTGGAATGACAGTACTTAGATCCCCACCATATCATTGTGAATTAAACCCGATTGAACTGGTATGGGCACAGATAAAGAGTGAAGTTTCAAGAAAAAATACCACTTTTAAAATTCATGATGTTGTTCATGAACAGTTGTTTTTGGAGGCCGTAAATAATGTAAAACCTGAAAACTGGGAAAAGGCAGTAAATCACACTATTAAAGAAGAGGAAAAAATGTGGAAGCTGGACAATATTACTGATAAAATGATCGAGCCAGTTATTATAAATCTTGGTTCTGAAAGTTCATCTTCTGAATCTGATTTGGATTTGTAACAAGTAGCTGTAAGTTTTATATTAATATTTTTATTCATCTATTTAACATACCTTAGACGGTTTTAAAAACTCTTTTTCTCTTTTGTAATTTTTAAAAATTAAAAAAAATGTGAATTTTTTAAAACCCTTTTTAATGTAGGCCAGTCAGTTCTAATATAGTGTGTGATAAAAGAGGTCACTTTTGTTTACATACACATAACACTTTATAACACTGAAATAATTCATTTATTTTTTACAATTATTCAAAGTAATTTTTCAATTAATCTTGAGCACGCCCATGGAGTGGTCGGAGGTACCAGTTAAAATTATGCTAATTACTCTCTCGTTCATAAAAATAAACTATAGAAGGTGGTCTGCGGAATGGAAACGCTTTAACTCCGGAGACTAATACAGAATTGGAAAGGTATACGGTATCTATCCAAAACAAAATAAGCTATGCTGATAAAAATCCTGTCCAATAAGAATAGTCCACGAAAGTCGCAAAATCAACTCTTGGAGATGAACTAGAAGCTCTTAGGAAGACAGCAAGAACAGCTTTCAATAGAGCAAAATACAAATAACTCGAACATGATTGGAATTCTTATCAATCAAGCCTCAGAGAGTTTAAGACTGTCTGCAGACAAAACAACGAGCTACTTGGAGAGCCTACTGTAAGAAAGTCCAAGATTTCCTGCAGGCTTTCAGGCTACAAAAAGCGCTCCCAAAAGACCAACATCAGCATATCGGCGTATTAACGAAGGAAGATGGAAGAAAAATTTTCAATCTTTGCAAAAGTGCTGAGATCCTAATGAAAACACACTTTTTTAGTTCTAACGCCTCAAAAGCACCGGACTGGATGGAATAAGCAATCATACACTCACTGAATGTCTGGCATCTCGCCAGAACAATGATTAGTGAAGAACAGTTAAGATAGGCCTCTCGTGCCTTTAAAGCCTTTTAAGTCACCGAGACGTAACGGCATATTCCCACCTTCGGGAACGTTCAGAGCCTCCTTGGCTCCTAGGAATATATTCCTAGGAAATGAAGAGTCGTGGAGAGACGTTATTTACTTATTGTAGGCAAGAGAGATATCTCTAGGAATAATCAAAACGATCGACAATATCTACCAAAATAACACAATAAAAGTAAAAGTAGAAGAAGAACTAACCGACCTTATTCAAGCTTCTTCTTCTTTAAGTTCCATCTTCTATCGAAGGTTGGAAATCATCATGGCTATGTGGACTCTGTTGACTGCCGCTCTAAAAAGTTCTGCACTACTGAATTCAAACCATTCCCTTAAGTTCTTTAGCCAGGATATTCTTCGTCTTTCCACATTTTGCTTTCCTCGGATTTTGCCCTGCATAATAAGTTGTAATAATGCGTATTTTTGCCTCTCATCACATGTCCTAAGTACTCAAGTTTTCGTCTTTTGATAGTTAATATTATTTGCCCCTAGTTACTTCCACGTTTGACATTCTTATTGAAGCAGGCAATGGGATAAGACAGGAAGATTTCCTGAGTTGTTTGACCTGATTATGGATGAAATAATAAAAAAAGTAAGAGCTAAAAAAGGATACCAAGGTTACAACAGTCAATTTACTAAGATGTAAATTGGAGCTGGAAGGGCAGTTAATAGAAGAAGTGATGGAGTTTAAATATCTAGGCATCACATTATCTAGCTACGGAAAGCTCGAAACTATAGTGGAAGATCAAGACCAGAGCTAGAAGTATAGATATATGACCTAGATGCAAGCAAGATGGAGAACATTAAGAACTGGGTAAGAAGTAGAAGAGTAGAATGAAACGATCATATAACCCGAATGACAACAAATAGAGTAGTAAAGACGGCAAGAGACGGTTCCCCAATAGGAAGACGATAAGTAGGAAGACCACGAAAACGATGGAACGCCAACTCACTGGAGGGAAATTGAAAAACAGAAAGAGTCATGTCTACATAAAAAGAAGAAGAGAGGCACACGTGGTCTTCATATCAATGGATAGAACTACACCCTACCTAAGGCTTTCCGACTAGTTAGCCTAACATCATTTAGGTTCATAGTCAACCTGGTTCATAGACCAAGGGTAGAAATTCTGGTTCACAACCCATTTGATCCAAATAAACATTTATATATTTCTGGAAGATCAACTGATTCTTCACTGTATCAAGTAGTGGGAAAAATGGAAAGATCGCTGGATAATAAAGAATCCACCCTAGGTCTATTCATAGACATTGAGGCAGCGTTTGATAAAACCCAACAGCTTAATGCCAAGAATGGGCCTCTGGCCACGAGCGAATGGATATTCAGTATGCTTTCCAATAGAGCAATAAGCATAAATGTAGAACACGTTTTGGTAAGAAGCATATTTACGAGAGGGTGTACATAGGGAGGTGTGCTATCACCACTCCTCTTAAAAATAGTTCTGGACACTCTGGTTGACTAACCCAGCAAAAAAGGGTTCTGTACAATACCCTATGCAGACGACATAGCTGTCCTGCAAAGCGTCAAGTTTAAGAACACACTATGTGATAAATTACGAGATGCTCTTAGACTAATAGAAGCATGGCGTAGAAAACAATCACTATCTCAATCTTTGGATAGTAATCACACCATCCTTAGTTGAGTTAAAGTTTACACTGGGAATAAAGGCAACCGCATTGCTGATCAACTAGCTAGGTGGCAGGTCTAGACCTCTTAGGACCTGGTAATATTTTTGCTTGGACAACTACAACAGCGCGGAAATTGCCAAATGTCACTCCCACACGTAAGCAGTGAGAAGATGCAAAGAATGACAAGGATGTAGACTTGCCATTCTTGGGTAACACTGAGTAACCCTCAGCATCAAAGAAGGACTTAGGAATGGAGAATGTCCTATAAGAGAGATATCCCTAGTGACGCGTCCATCTTCCTGGAAATAAAAATGGTCGGATGGAAAATAAGCTAAGAAGAACAGCTATCCGGGAGTATACAAAATGGATCAATTGTGGCCTAAGTGCTGCGAGACTTGACCAGCCCTCCGTACGCTATAAATAGATTAAATCGATCAATTTAGCAACTTAAGTAGTTAATCACTCCGACACAAGGTATTTCAAATATAAGCTAACTTGTTTCCAATATAATGTTTTCTTACAAATATAAAATTAAAGAAAATCAGATAATCTAAAAAAAAGTTTAAGCCCTTTTTGGTAATTTTGTTTTGTTAACAAAAAAAAAAACGTTTTGTTTTGATAACAAGAGAGTTTTTGGTCAGTAATACAATAAACTTCATGAAAAAGATTATTCAAAATCAAACATACATACCTGTAGTGATACTGGTTCATCAAATAAGATAGGAAACTTCTGTCTTGGTCCACATTCGTAGGGAATTTCTTCAGTTTCGGCCAACAACTCGCCATCGATTTCCTGTTCTCCTCCTTCTGGTCCAATATCTAACAGTTTCAATTTAGCAGTATACTCTCCTCTGCCTCCGAACAAACCGAATCCCCCAAGTAATATGTCTGTATCGGCCGTAAATCGAATAGCCTCAATGCTATGTCCGGAATATCCCCAACCGCCACCGTGGCTTTCAAATCTGTTAACCGCTTGAAAGTCTTCTTTGGAATATTGTTTGCCTGTCATCTGGCATCTTTCGTCAACAGTTTCGTTTATAGCTGTTATCTGCAGATCATGAGACATCGTTAAAATGTCCAAGCAACATAGCAGATTGATAGCTGCTTGAAATCGAGTAACATAACAGTTTGTGGTGACAGGTAAAGCTAGTTCTGGCGAAAGAATCGAAGACAATTGAACGTTACGGTCAATATTTTTGGCATCTTTAATATTTCTAATTTCACTCAAATATTTTCCTTCAGGTTTGTTAACGTTCTTTAAAGTCTGGAGTTCTGCAGCTATGACATTGTATGCTGTAAATTCATTATTCATAACGCTGTAAGACCACAAAACGTTATAGATAGGATCCATGCAAACAATTTTGTTACTGAAGTCGACTTGGTCGGCCGATTTAAACGAGTTGCAATTTCCATCTCTTTTATTAATGACTAGACATTTAAAATTCTTCGCAGTTTCTTCTTCATTAGGAAGTAAAACTAAAAATGAAATTATCAATTAAAATGAATAAATTAATATAAAAGCAGAAATAGTAGAAAATAATAGCACTAAAATACATGAAAAATAATAAGGAATCAAGATCTGAATGTATAGCGGCAAAACTAAACAATAGAAAATAGAAATAGAAAACAAAACTAAAGAATAAAACACCCAGCTGTCCTAGCTGAAAAAATATTTAGGAGATATATAAACAGGAAAGAAATCCCAAGGAACTGCAAGAAGAATCGATTACGCCCATTAAAAAAAAGGCCACAAAGACTATTGTGGAAACTACATATGCACCTCAGTAACTAGTACCTTTAGTCGATTATACGGAAAAATCTTAAAACATTTAGTCGAAGAAGAGTATGAACCATGAATGTATAATTTATACGTCTATGGTATGAACCGTATGAAATAGAACAACAAGCAGGATTCCGAGCTTGAAGATCATGTCTCGATAATATTTTTACTAAAATTCAACTGACTGAAAAAAGTATATCAACATGTTATTTTTGTTGATCTATCAGAAACATACAATACAGTACCAGGAAAAACAAAATTAAATTAGGATATTAATTAGGAATCTGATAGGAATATCCTACCAGAAACTTCTTTGTAACTAAAGGATTGCGACAGAGATATTTTCTTTCCCCGATTTTATAGTCTGAAAAGATGGAGAAGATCCAACCCTGGAATGGATTTACAATTGAATGAGGAGCATATTTTGTACACCCATCATTTAGCTGATGATCAAGTGATTATAGCCCAGGACAGATGACCTAAAAGTTATGGCGAAAAGGTTATATAAATAATATCAAAAATGGGATCTACAAGTGAATGGATCAATAACATAATACTTGACAATTGAAAACACAGCAGGAAACCTGATCAGTAAGAAGATAATCCAACAGCTATAATTTGTCTTCTAACTCTCCACTCACGTTTACGTTTCTCACTTCTTGCAGATGATTTCTAAGAGAAACTGCTGCGACTGTTCGGTTTCTTAAAGCACGGTTTTTCGTCGGACCAGTTTGTTATGTAGTTACATAATCGAGAAACTTACAGTAACATGTCTAGCAGCTTTGCGCAGACCGTGTATTTGTTAAAGATGATACAATTTTTGCAGTAACAACAGTATTTATGTTCACTGCAATACATTAACAAGACCCTGGAAGACCTCCAAGAGATGGCAAGACAGCTGCAATAAGAATAAATAAGAATAAATATTGTCCAGTAAACACAGACACAAACCTGTGATTTAAGAATTGTCAGCAATCTGTACTGGAATCAAACATCATCTATCCGTACAGAGGCAGGAGAATCCGACGATATCAAAATCAAACGTGGCGTCCGTCAGGGATGTATACTATCACCACTGCTGTTTAACATATACTCTGAGGAAATCTTTCAAGAAGCAGTGGGTGATGTTGAAGTCGGAATTCGAATCAACGGAGAATCTATCAATAACATTAGGTACGCGGACGACACGGTAGTATTCGCTGACAGTTCTGAAACCCTCCAGGAGTTAATGAAAAGAATGACAGAGGTCAGTCAGAGATACGGACTTTCACCAAACACTAAGAAAACAAAATGCATGATGATCTCTAAGAAGGAACAGCAATTTGGACAAATCAGTGTAAACGGTCAACAAATAGAAAGAGTAAAAACATACACCTACCTTGGTACGAACGTCAATGAAAATTGGGACCATTCCATAGAAATCAAATGTAGAATAGAGAAAGCAAGATCTGCATTTCAAAAAATGGCTAAGTTATTCAAATGTCATGATTTATCAATGCCCATAAAAATCAGGTTACTACGATGTTACATCTTTCCTATACTGTTGTACGGAGTTGAGTCATGGACTCTCACAGATGCCATCTGCAAGAAAATTGAGGCTTTTGAAATGTGGCTTTATCGTCGCATCCTAAAGATACCCTATACCGACCACGTTACTAATGAGGGTGTTCTGTTGAGAATGAAAAAAGAAAAAGAGCTGTTAACCACAATAAAAACAGCCAAAATCGAATACCTCGGTCACGTCATGAGGAACAGCGAAAGATATGGACTGCTGCAACTAATCTTGCAGGGAAAAGTAGAAGGAAAAAGGGGACCAGGAAGGCGAAGGATTTCCTGGCTGAACAATCTACGAACGTGGTTCAACACAACAACCACAAATCTTTTTAAGTGTGCAAAGTGCAGATTGCGATGATGGTCGCCTACATCCGAAACGGATAGGTACTACAGGAAGAAGGAAAGGAACACAGACCTGAACAATATTACCCAGTAAACATATAAAAACGAAGAAAAATAAGCATTTGACGTTAGTTTCTCACAAAATATAATAATCAAAAAGTAAAATGACACAAAAATAGCTGTAGAACTAGCTTTAGAATCTTAAGACATTAAAATTATAATTATAATACTTACCAATTGAACACTTATTTGCTGTTACTGTCGACTTTGCTATACTAACGGAGTTTATGAGACTTTCATCCAATTTAAGGAATGTTTGATCTCCTGACGCACCTACCCAAGTTGCTCTACGGCCGTGCCTTGGGCCAATATTTGGTATTAACCCAGGAAAGCTGTACCAAGGAGTCCTAGGATTTGAAAAGCGAGATGATGAGCTATTTCCAGGTTGAGTAACATCTTGCGATGAAACGTTGTTAGGAGTTCTTCCTAACTGTCCCTTCTAAAATATAACCATGATTTATACAGTCTAAAATGTTATAATTAGTATAAAACTATTTAGTTTTTAATAGGTAAAAAGAAATAAAATAAGACTTACTCACAATCAGTTTAATTTTACTACCAATTGACCGGTTTCGCTTTTTACAATTTGCAAAGCATCTTCAGGTCAGTCGGTACAGAGTAAATTAAATGCTGAAATTATAAAAAGTCCATATTAGGGTGTTGCCCATATGCAATCACCCTGGATTCGTGCTCTGCATTCAACTTTTTCAAGGGTTAGTTTGGTTAGACTTACCAACTGATTTGGTACTCCTAGGTCTATCATTGCTCTAGACAATTCTCTTCTATTTACAGAGTCGCAGGCTGCCTTGTAATCTATAAATATGTGGTGCGTGTCTACACGCCAGTATTTCAGTGTTTCTATAGAATTTGTCTTATGGTTGAAATCTGATGAATTGTTGATTTACCACTTCGGAAACAAGCCTGGTATTGTCTTATTATTCGCTGTGCATATGGTACCATACGATGGCATAGTATATTGGAGAATACTGTATACGCTGTATTTAGGAGCGTAATTCCTCGATGGTTGGAGCATTCAAAGATATCTCCCTTTTTGTGTAGGAACTTCTGTATCCATATTTCTTTTATAAGCTGCTGTAGCGATATTATGATATCGTGGCCACCCTTTTTATATAATTCCGCTGGGAGATTATCTATTCCGGGTGATTTGTTTCTGGCAAGTTTGTTTACATCGTTTTTAACTTCCAGGATCGTTGGTGGATCCTTCTCCCTCTCGTCTGCTCCGCTTATCTCCCAGCTTTCGTTTTCCTGGTTTTCTTCTTCTTCCTCTATATTATCTGGTTAAAATATTCCGTCCATCGATTTAGTACGTCTGTTCTTGTTTTTAATAGATCGCCATTCAAACTTCTACATTGATTTGTGTTTGCCTTGAATTCTTTTCTGTTGATGTTAACTTTCTTATAGAATGACCTGAATTATTTCTCTCTGTTGAGGTTTTCTATATATTGAAGTTCCTTTTTAAGTGGTTTCGTTTCTTCATTCTGTGTAGTTTCTTTTCTTCTCTTCTCTGTGTCTGGTAATTCTCTATACTGGTTCTAGTTCGGCAAGTAAGCATTTTTGCATAGGCTTCATTTTTTTTTGTATTGCGTCTTTGCATTCATCGTCAAACCAGTAATTTTTTCGGGTACAAGTTTTTGTTCCTATTTCATCATGTGCTTCTGACTTAATATCTTCCTTTATCCTGTTCCAGTAGGAGTCTATATTTTTTTGGTCTTCTTCGCTTAGACTTTGATTCCTTAACATATTGGTAATATTTTCTCAGTACTCTTGTGCAACAGTTGCGTCTCTCAGCTACTGTACATTCCATTTATTTATATCTATTTTTTTTCCTTTGTCGCCCTTAGTGTTGAGATAACTAAACAATGGTCTGGGTCTATGTTTGCGCCTCTATAACTTCTGCAGTTTGTTATGTCCGTTCCGTGTCTTAAATCTACTAAGATGTAATCAATCTGACTAGTTGTTCTTCCATCAGGGGAGGTCCAGGTTACCTCGTGTATATTCTTGTGTTCAAAATAGGTGCTAGTGACGGTGATGTACAGTGCTGCTGCTAAGTTTATCAGTCGTAATCCACTATCGCTACTGATGTTGTGTAGACTATGCCTATACAACATACCTATGTACATTATATGATTATCCAATATTATTATACAGTCATAAAGTTATAAAATAGTGGAAGAAAAATATGTACCAATACCTATATGCTATTTTTTCTGATTTTAAACCAAAAATAAAAACAAGTGCTGTACCTGAGCATTGCCGAAAGTATAGACTTCTCCTTTAGATGTTAATACTACCGAATGGTTACTGCCAGCTGCAACTTGTATTGCACTACATGGTAATCTTATTAGCTGTACACTACTTTTGGTTAGTATGTCCCCACATCCGAGTTGTCCGTTCAGATTGGAACCAAATGTGTAAACCTAAAAAATAGAGTAAAGAATATATTTTTTAATAAAGTAATGATTGTATATAACTCCGCCATTGCCGGTCCCAAGATGATAAACAAGGAGGGTGAATGGCTAGCGTATGGGGCTTGGTGATAGTATCCAAGCCAAGTGGATACTGTCAATAACTGTCAAGAAAGAGATGAGTGAAGGCGAGTGTTTAGCGCCTAAATCTGAACTACATTGGTTATGAGTAGACTTCGGCAAATATGCATATTGCATATTTTGCATATTGTGCATATTTTATGCAAATATTTCATATTTTGGCATATTTGTATAAAAGTTTGCATAAAGTGCATAAAAGTTCAGATTTTTATACTGTATTTGAACATATTTAAACATACCAATTTATTTCAATTCTTGTATAAACTTTTGTAGTCATTTTAATCAACAAATGATCTAAGTACGTAATCTCTACAGGTACAAAACATTTACAATTTCAAAGAAGATCAATTTAAGTAGCCCTCAACATTCTTAGAAAGTCTCGGTCACTGAGGCCTTCAGTTATTGGATAATCGCTAAGGGTTCGCTCATTTGCATTTTATGATCTAATCCCCAAATCTATCTACAATTTATTGTATCTTAACAGCAGGTAAATGGCTAATAGTTTTGTTCCTAATTTAGTAATTTTCCAAAATCTCCCAGTTTATTGAATTAGGTACCTAAACATTTCTAATTTGATGCTCAGATTTGTAAATCATTTTTGTTTTGATATTCAAAGCGTAAACACTCGTTGTGCGTAACAAAAAGTAAGATTGTGATTTTATAATGCCTAAAACAACCAGTGCTTCAACTTGGATTAAACCTTATAAAGAGCTGTCTATGGATATGGGAAAAATCTACTGTTCAGTCTGTGGCAAAATTGTAAGTATCTAATATTTTCTATTAAATATCTAATATTTCATACATACAGGGTGTTTCCAAATGACACTTACAACGTTTGACTGTAGATACTTCTCGCAAAATTGAACAAAACGATATAGTTAATGAGGGGTCAAACTTATTTACTTTTCAAGATACAGGGTGTTAAAATTAAAAAAAATTAAATTCTTTTAGTTAATAACAACAATAACTTTAAAACCAATAAACGTATTTTCTTGAAATTTAGTACTTGTAGGTTGTTTTTAAATGAAAAATAGCTTCCTTTAGTGAGAAAAAATTGTCCATGGTACAATACAATGGTGTGTACCTATTTAGAAAAATTTTTCACCTTTACTTTTTTTTATGAAGTCAGCTATTCTAAAACACAATTATTTTTATTGTAATTGAATTAACAAAAAAAAACTTTTGTTGAATTTTAAAATAAGTTATATGATGTACTAATGGTTAGTAACAAAAACTAATTTGTGGATTAATACTGCATTTAAAACAATTAGCGAGTGTTTTTTTTTTTTTCAAACCAGTTATTTGATTAACCAAAAACACCTTGTATATTTTTATATTTTAAAGGTTGGGTTAAAATAAAGGTTTTTATTTTTATTTATAGATAGCATGTGAGAAGAAATTTCAGATAGACCAACATGTGAGAACTGCTTCACACATTGCAAAAAAAGGAATAATAGGAGGAAAACATCAAACTTCAATGGCTAAATGTTTCCAATCTACTTCAAAAAAATTAGATGAGCACGAAACTTTTAATGAAGACATGTGTTGCGCATTAGTGTCTGCAAACATACCGCTTTCAAAATTAGCAAATGTAAATTTTAGTTCGTTTCTAAAAAAATATTGCAAACTTAATGTTCCAAGTGATCGGTCTCTAAGAAGAAATAATGTGAACGGGCTATACTCGTCGGTGTTAATTAATATTAAGGAAGAAATTGCAGATAATTATTTTTACATATCTGTAGACGAAACCACTGATTCCTCAGGAAAGTATATTGTTCATTTATTGATTGGTGTTCTTAAAGAAGATACCTTACCAAAATCTCATCTTATTTCATGCCAGCAACTTGAGAAAACAAATGCTTTAACAATTTCGCGTTTTATACAAAAAACATTAGCAACTTTTTTTCTTCCGACAACTATTCCTTCTAATAAATTACTGCTTATTTTATCGGATGCTGCTCCTTATATGGTGAAAGCAGGACAAAATTTAAAAATATTTTTCCCAGATATAATACATGTTACTTGTGTAGCGCATGGATTAAACAGAGTTGCAGAGGAAATACGAAAAAAGTTTCCTCTTGTAAATACCATGATATCCAGTGTCAAAAAAGTATTTCTTAAATCTCCTATAAGAATTCAACTTTATAAAGAAATGCTACCTAACATTCCTCTTCCACCACAACCTATTTTAACGCGATGGGGAACATGGTTAGAAGCAGCTAATTTTTATGCAGATCATTTTGTTAAAATAAAGAACATAATTGATACGTTAACAGATGAAAGTTCCCAATCTCTTTTGGATTCTAAACAAACTTTTCAGAGTAACTTGCTTCAACAAGAACTTTCATTTATAAAATCAAATTTTAGTTTTGTTCAAAAAACAATTACTCAGTTAGAATCACCAAAACTATCATTGTTCGAAAGTACAGCATTAATAAAAGAATTTGCGTCATGTTGTCGGAACGTTAGAGGTAATATTGGAAAAGATATTTTAAAAAAAATTGAAGCTACTATGGAAAAAAATAAAGGTTACCATATTCTTTCTGAAGTAGTCAGTGTTCTAGCTGGAAATATTTCGGAAACAATTAATTTAGAACCAAATGTTTTGGTTAGTTTGAAAAATGCTCCCGTTACATCAGTTGATGTTGAACGAAGTTTTTCCATATATAAATATATGTACTCAGACAGAAGCCACAAGTTTTTGTTAGAAAATTTTGAACACCACTTGGTCATTTATTGTTACCATAACTCTAAATAAGTTTATTCATACTTAAAAATGATGTAGTTACTTAAAATAAATGTAAATCTTAATGAGTAGTAGGAAATATTTAGTTATGTACACTTTTTTTTTTAAATAAAATTGTTACTATTTTACGATTTTTTTATTTATTTGTATGCATATTTTGTAAAATATTTGCATATTTTCGGGTAAACACGTGCATATTTATGCGCATATTTTCTACATTTTTATTTGCATATTTGCCGAAGTCTAGTTATGAGAGTAAACCTCAACAAAAAATCTTCTCTTCTCTAAAACTTTTTACATTTATTTAATGAAAGTTCATCTTGGTCTCTATCCTTATGCAAGCTTAAGATAAAGCGTGTTTAAAGAGCGGCATAGAAAACTTGAAAAAGTATTGGAGTGATTGTATTGCCGCTATAGGAGATTTTTTAGAATTAAAGAATATTTTTTGCAAAAATGTTGTCTTACTAATTAGGCCCGAGACTTATTTACTGTTTTAGTTTAATGGATTAAAATTTTTAAGACCAATATTGTTTTAACTTACCTGACCATTTTGTAGCAGTACTATACTATGATGTAAACCACAAGATATCTGTATCACAGGGCTATCGCTAGGCAAAGTCAACTTAGATGGAGGTAGACATGATATTCTGGCAGCGTCTCTTTCAACATCGGAACCCTGTTGGTCTTTAACTAAAAACCATTTGAATTTCGTTAAGAGAATATTACTAAACACATATGTAGAAACAAGAAAGTACAAATGTATGTAGTACCAACAATGTATATTATTTTTATTGATTTTTGGAGATTGAAATGTAAAATATTTAAAAGATAAAACCAAATTTTTCCAATGTATAGTATAAAAATAACTTTTGCATTTTTTAAACATTTGAGGAGGTGTCAATCAAAATCAATCATGTCCATAAAAATCAAAAAATGAGTTAGCAGCTGTTTCATAATATAAAGAGTGAATCCTATTCTATGGTGTTTTCGGTTTCGGTTAAAAAAAATTATGTCCTGTTTAAAATGAATACACAATATTAGGTTCCCAAATCAAATGAAATCATGTCCACAGTTGGTTTTAATCATACCACCACATGTCCATTCAGCTAATAGGAGTGCCCCGATTTGGTCACGTGATTTGACCATGTCAACACATTGTCTGTGTTTTCCCTCTAGGTTATGTCGATAGCGAGTATTGAGTTTGTATTGCACCGTGGTTTAATTTTAATATTATTATAGTAGTTTTTATTAAATAAAATTGAAATTTTCCATGGATGAAGAAAACTTAGTGAGAGTGGGCGATGCCAATGAAGCATCTCGTAAAAATAAAAAGACTGGATAAAAAAACTAGAGCCAAGCTTAAGCGATACAGTACTCCAGTGGGATGTCGTGTGTTTGTTCCATGTAAACACACGAACAAAGGTATGAAATGTGCATTAGTTAGGCCTATAGATGCTATTTTCGAAATATCCTCTACAAAATACCTGACAAAAACACGCAAGATAAGACCATTGCCAGTTGGATAAATCAACGTAACATAAAGCGGCGAAGGCCTAGGCCTACCTCTGAAAAATCAAAGGCTAAAAGTTTTAGTGTACAATATTCTATACTTTCATCAACCGGTAAAGTTATACCTGTGTGTAGGAAACTTTTCATGCATATTACCATGGTGAAGGGAACAAGATTGACTAATATTTCTAAAAAGGTGAAAGAGGGAAAGGCTGTTAAGGATCAGAGGGGTGGCGATGAGAATAGTCACAAATCTGCTGCGAACAAGGAATCAGTCCGCCTTTTTTTGAGAAATTTAAGAGGAAAAGAAAGCCACTATAATCGAAAAAAATTGAAAAGGATTTATCTTGGTGCAGACTTAAACATTAAGAAGTTGTGGCTAATATACAATGATTCTGTACTTGATAATCTTAAAGTTAAGAAATCTATGTTTAGGAGAGTTTTCAATGAATTAAATATCGGATTTTCATCACCAGCTTCTGACGTTTGCAGTACATGCAATAAAATAGATCTTCAGCTGAAAATTGAGAAGGCTAAAGCTGTGAAAGACTTGGTAGTGGTCAACCAATTTATGATGGAGAAAAGAATACACAGATTAAAAGCTAATGCTTTTTATGGGCTCTTAAAAAGAAAACAAAGAAAATGAGGTTACTTTCTGTTTTAATCTCCAGCAAATTCAAGCACTTCCCAAAACTTCTATTCAAGACGCGTTCTACAAAAGACAATTAAGTTTTTACTCTTTTTGCATTGTAGCATCAAACGCACAAAACCCCATATTTTACGTATGGACTGAAGAACTTGCAGGAAGGGGTGCGACCGAAGTTTCATCTGCACTTATAAATGTCTTGAACTCCGCTAATTTTTCAAATGTAACAAGACTGAATCTGTTCTGTGATGGGTGTGCCGGTCAAAACAAAAACAATGCCGTTGTTCACACATTAGTGTATTACTTAGGATCAGTGCAAAATGCTTTAGAGGATATTGTTCTAACATACCCTGTTCGTGGGCATAGCTTCCTCCCCGCTGATCGGGTGTTCGGAAGGGTTGAAAAGTTACTCAGGAAGCAGCCTACCAGTGCAACAAAGGAAGAGTACTACAATGTATATAGTTCTGTTGGAGAAGTACGGAAACTTGGAGAGGATTGGGGATTGATTGATGCTAAAAGTTTGGCTACACGATTTAAAAACATTGAAATGATATCTGAAAAGAAGAGGATTTTTGTAAGGAAAGAGAAAGCTGTCAACCGCAATGGACAAGAACTTACTGTTATCAAAGTGAAATCGGCACAGAATTTTAGGTTTGAAAGTGATTTTGAAACCTACAACAAACCTCAAAAAAAGGCTGGCATTCTGCAAGGTCGTTCTCAACTCCTGTAGAGTGACTTCCACTGAGCAATATAGTGAAAGCAGCTAAGAAGAAGGACGTGGAGACGTTACTTGTGAAAATGTATGGTGATGACTGGCAGAAACATGACTTTTTATCTTGGTATAAGACCATAATAGTGGAAGTCCAGGACGACGAAATTGATGCTGACGAAGTGGACGAATCCTGTGATTGTCTAGAACCTGACATTGGACTACACATTTAAACATCTATATTTTGTGGAAAGTGTCGTTGGTAAATGTTAGCCATTTTTCAAGATATTTTTTGTAACAATACAATAGATATTTTAAGTAGTCTAAGAGTTTTTTTATCAACCCCTTCTATCAACGTCCATGAAGTCCAATCAAATAAGAACATGTCTTTTTTTTAAAATGTATTTACAAGTTTATTTATACCTTCAGATTTGAAATATTTACTAAGAGTCAGTTAATTTCAATAAATAAAATGATATATGCTAATTTATCCGATTTTTCATGTAAGGTTATTTACTAATACGTTTTTTGCGATTTCCCTAAAACTTCTTAAGGTGGACATGATTGATTTTGATTGACACCTCCTCATTTGGAGTATCAGCGTTACTACACAAAGTGAAGACAGAAGCAAAGTGTCGAAATCGCTAGCGAGAAATCACCAACAACTCAGATATTTAGTATTTCTGAATGTTGTCGCAAAGGGGTTGAGGGGTACGCTTAACAAGTATCATGCAGCGATAGGTTAGGTTAGACAACATTCGCGTTGGACCGGTACCAAAATGAGCATTTGCGTTGGTCCTTCCTAGCTAGTGAGCATTATACCCATAATATGCATAATATGTTCACAAAACATTACCTGATTGTAAGACATTATTTTGTCTAACACTATTATTTAATCTATGTGCTGTGGATGAATTAATAGCTGGTCTCGAAGATTTAGCTTTCAGTGATTGTTTACTACAACTTTGTACCGATTTCTTGCTCTTATTTTTCCTTTCTTCTAAGCGACTCTGCAACTAAAATAAATGGCGTCAATAATTGAATAAGTAATTCAATATCTTTAGTTAAGGGACCAATAAAAAGTGAAATTTTATATTAACAAACAACTAAGTAACAAAAAAGATTCTTCCCATCGGAAGCGTATCGAAGACAGTCGCTTCTAAGAATTGTGACATGTACCACGCATCGGAGGTGGGTTATTTCGTTACACTGCTCTTAGATCTAAACGTCCCGATCAGCAACTTTACATGAAGACCCAGTATGGCGGAATCTACAGGACTCTCCAGCTCTGCATAAACCACTCAGAAAGAAATAACAGTCTACGGTCTTTGAAGGATACGATCTCTTTAAGTTAATGCAACACACAGTAATTCGGACGTCGGTTTCTCGGAAGATTACTTCAAGCATGCTTCTGACAATCTTCCAATCCAGATTTTCTAGTGCGTGGTCTATCTTGGGTAAGGCCAAATTCTTGATGTCATAATTGCACACGATTTTGTTCAATTAAGTTAGAGCACGCCATATATCCTCGTAGCTTGCCTTGTCTGTATACGACTTCCTGGTCACCATATACATCAAGGGTGCTCAAACTTGAACTGCTGGCGATCTACCTCAATATTTTTAGACTACTTACGATCGACTCTGAGAGACTGCAAGTGTGTGTGATGCAGGGTTGTCGTACATACACGATACACCCTACCTACCTAGGTAGGGCGTACCGTAGCATATATAGATATTAACTTTCTGCACAAAATAGGAACATTATTTTAGTCAAGGTTTGGGTTAGGTTTAGTTAGGTCCTTCTCTACAATATCAATGAAAAAACTCATAGTTATTCAAAATTGCGAGTTTATTTGTTGTTACAAAACAAAAGAGTTACATATGGTGTTAAACTTAACTAAGGAGTGGCTTTGGATGTTGAAGCGTGGCACTGCATGTCCTCAGCATACTTTTCATAAGATGGTACGTAACCACTGAGTGCTAATCGCAAGCATGATGTCATATGATCGTCAGTTAGTCGATTGCGATATTTTGACTTAATTATCTTCATTTCAGAAAATGCAGACTCGCACAAGTAAGTTGACCCAAAAAATACCGTCAGTTGAAGGGCGATTTGCCTTACATTCGGATATTTATCTTCAGATATAAAACGCCAGAAATTTCTATCAGATACTGTAGCTTTGAGATGTATATCTGATATAATCTGCACCAACTCATTTTCAACAGAACATGAGTTCATATTAAACTGACTTGCTATTTCAGTAGCTAATTCCTCAATGTTTTTACATTAAAAAGGATAACTCATAAATGATGCTATATTTTCCAATTTACTGCAATCATAAAAACGCATTTCGAATTGTCCCAAAATATTTGATAATTCAGCCTCACACGTATCATAATTCAACTGAGGAATCCTTGCTTTCAAAGACGGAAATTGTTTCAGATCCTTTCTTTTCAGTTGATCTATCATAAGTTGCAATTTACTTTTGAATGCGTTTACTGCGCTAATCATCTCAATAATAATTTTTCCTTTACCTTGAAGCTCCAAGTTAACGGTGTTTAAGTGCATTGTGATGTCAGTCAAAAATGCCAAATCATTTAGCCATTTTTCGTTTTTCAAAATCTGAGTGTCATCACCTCTTTCGTCTAGAAAAGCTGTTATTTCGGGCAATAATTCTTGAAACCTTTCTAGGAATTTTCCGCGACTCAACCACCTGACGTCCGTGTGAAGAACTAAATCAGTGTGTTCAGCTGACTCCTTATCTTCCAACTGCAACTGAAAGAGCCGCCGTTGCAAGCTACGTGCACGGATGGAATTCACAATTTTTGTTTCAATGCCCATAATTTCCTACGTGTTTAAAACTTTTGTATACAAAACTTGTTGATGTATAATGCAATGGAATGAAAAAAATGAAGGGAATTCTTCATTAGCTCGACACAATGCCACAAAACCGTTTTTGTTTCCAGTCATTGCTGGTGCTCCATCGGTTGTAATGCACATTAATTTATATATTGGTAGCTCGTAGTTTTTTTACAAAATTTAAGAAAGCGTCATATATATCTTCGCCACGGGTCTTCCCCTTCAGAGGAATGATTGTCAAAAATTCTTCCTTAGCCAACATGTCATTGAATACCATCGGAATAAAAATACACAGCTGGGCAGTGTCTGTCATATCGATGGATTCGTCGAACTGTAAAGAAAAGTATGTACATTCCATGATATCATGTTTTAGTTTATCTGCGATGTCTTGACTCATGACTTCAATACGCCTTGTGACAGTCGGACGAGATAACTGAAGTTCTCTAATAGCAGACATGATTTTTGTTTTATTTTTAAAATCTCCAAATAAAGTCTCACCCGCTTCAATAAATGCTTCCTTCACCACCGATCCATCTTCAAATGGTTTCTTGTGTTTCGCCAAAATATGAGATATTGTAAATGACGCGATCGTAGCAGCTTTTGATTGTTTGGCTGGTCTTGTGAACATGGATTGTTCTTTTTTCAAACAAGATATCAAATCACTTACTTTTCGTTTTCTTAATTCACTCTGTGGCGGAAAATCCTTTTCATAGTTTTTATGAACCGTTTTATGATGCCTCTCTAAGTTACCACGCTTAGGTATTGCAACTGACGCACGACAAATAACACAAATGCACTTATCCTTCACCATAGAAAAGAAAAATTCTTCCTCCCAATCCTTATTAAAATGATACGTTTTAGATTTCTTCACTACACTCATTTTCCACTATTTAATAATAAACTTTGTATCGACGTAGGATCGCTATCAAGTTACAATTCAGAATAACTTCAATTCCTGCAGGCGCAACATTTATATCGGCGTGAACGAAAGTCTCGAATGTTCCTGTCAAACGCGCCGCCCGAAACTAGACTGTACTGTCTCTCGTCTAGAAACAACACGGCTTTTCTTTGACAAGTGCCGCGCGTTCCTTTGATAAAGCCACCTTTTGCCGCAAGCAGTGTTATTTTATTACGTAATACATTTTTGTAGTTGATAGAATATCATCCCAAATTTGATTAATAATTATAATAAATATTGAATTAATAAAATAATTAGTTAATATATGTAAATATAAAATATGCTGTGTGGACAGTATTTTGTTGTCCCCACTTCTTTGAATTGCAATGATGCTTAGTCAAGCATTCTATGTATTTGTATAGTTCAGTATTAATAAAAACGTTTAACTCTGCTGACAGTAGTTTAGTTACCTACCTACTTATTAAAATCTTTTTTCTTCTCGAGATCTACCCAAAAAGCACTCGCGATCGACCAGTCGATCGCGATCGACCGTTTGAGCACCCCTGATATACATCAAAGATCGAGGACCATCTTCTAATCTCAGTACTCTTCCAACTTTAGGATGCTAATTTTTCAACTCGACCAAACGACCGAACTTCTTATAAAATACGGATGAGATTTCTTTAGACATCTTAAGATCTTTGGCAACACAGTGGGCTAGAGAGAAGTTATGCGGAACTCTAAAAAGATCCTGCTAAACTTCTGTGAAAGTTATTTTTTTCTTTTTTCGACACTCTCAAAGTGTTTTAATTTTTAGGACATATAACTATCGAAAATCCTTAATAGTACAGACAAAACAATAATAACAAAAATAGAGAAAACAAAATTAATTCTAGCTATTTCGACTACTTACTTGCTCTTGTAACTTGGTTCTTTGTCTGGGTGGTATAACCGCTTTTTCTCTAAATATTAAGTCCAATCTCATCATCCCTGCCAAATCAGCCAATTCAGAATTATCTACTACTTCCCTAGCGCAAATCCTACAGCAACCGCATATACTGCAACCGCTGTCACCTTCTCCACATCCGCATTCCCTAACATGGTAAATAATGTTACTATTAAAAAGACAGCTAAAGTTTAATTAAAGAACTTACTGTCCAGGATTTCGGTCAGCACTAATAGATGATAAACAGCTAATGGAATACCCAGTACATTCTCTGCAAACAGTACAAATCATGCACATATCGTCATGCCAAGCGTGCATGCCAGGTGGACATATGTTATGTGGTTCTCCCATATTCAGATCAGATACTCCGGGAATATTTTCGCTTTCCTTTTGATTTTCTGACTGAATTTCATCTATCAAATCTTGCTCTTCTTGAACACCACAAGTGTCCATGGCAACAACATTAGAAGAGTTTTCTAAAACGAAAATAATGTAAGTATGTATAAGACAAGGTAAGATAATATTAATTATGAGATAAAAAAATATGTAAGAGATAGGATAATAGTTGGAGTAAAAGAAACATCGAATATAAAATGGTCTATACACATGTTAAGAAGAGAGAAGACAAACCTCTCAAAAGAGAAAAACCCGGTAAACGATTAAAGAACACAAGGATAGTATAAGGGAAACAACATCTAATTATTAGGAATACCACAACGTGTGATGAATATGGACTGAAGCTAAACACCATAAAGACAAAGGTGATGGTGGTCAGTAAAACGCGAATACATCAAGAAGTGGTAACAGCAGGGTAATAACTGTAGAGAACCAAATATCTCTCATTTTAGTTGTAATCTAAATGAGAACTGGGACATGAGTAAAGAAATTAGAATCAGATATCGTATAGAGAAAGTCATAGTTGCATTTTTTAAGACGAAGAAAATGTTATGTGGAAACAATATTATCTTAAGGCTGAAAATCAGATTAGTAAGGTGTTATGTGTTCTCAATTTTTTATATATATAGTGCCGAAGGTTGGACTTTAACGGATATACTTCTAAGAAAACTTAAAGCATTTGAAATATGGGTGTATCAAAAAATTCTGCGAATCAGTTACGTAGATGGAGTTAGTAACGAGGTTGTTTTGCAGCGGATGGGAAAAGTTACAGAAGTAGTTAGAACAGTTAAAAATCACACACTGGAATAGTTTGGCCATGTTACACGTCAACCAGAGACATATAATATACTTCATTTAATACCAGGCAAAATAGATAAATGGAAGAAGAGGGCCTGGTCGAAGAAGAACGTCATGGATTAGGTTTAACAGATCCTTTACACCCCTTTTTCGAACGTCTGTTAACAACATTAGTATACTCTATTCCACGAGTATACGACTGTTTTAAATTCGGTTTAAGGTATCGATTTAAAGGGTCCAATGTGCTATTCTCTCCATTTTTAAAATACTGTTTTAATAAAATACTGACAGATATAAACCTTAGATTAAATATGAAGTCATGATATAAATTTAGAGTTGATAGTTTATAGAACAGTTGTAATTCCGATTTTGGAGTATATAATTACCATCATTGAGTTTAGTATTGTAAACAAGGTGGTTTTTGAATTAAGTGATTTAAACTAAGTGTAACAATACTTAAGTAATTAAATAGTGTAATTTATGTAGTCGAATATTCAATTAAGTCTTCACATTTTTTACACTTTCTTCCCAAATCTCAGGAGTAGCAATATCCAATGCTTGTTGCCATGTTTCCAAGACTGCCTCGTCACTGTAACCCTTGTATCCAATATGGTTATTATAATATGTTTTGCATATCCCCCAAATATATTCAATGAATTGAATTGGCAATGATAGGGCGGTAGTCTTAACACATGATGTCCAAAGCTATGCATAATTTCGTCTACTATATATTTATATATGTTTTGGTTGTGCATGACTTTTAGCTAACGTTAGTAATTGAGGCTTAAAACAGTATTGAGGAAATGTAATATTTTAATTCATTAACCATTCTTTTATTTTATCTCCGTTTCAGGTGTTTGTTGGTTACTTATTTAAAATTTCCGAATGGTACGCAGCATTATTCAGTACTATAATGGATGGTTCATGTAAACTTGGCAACAATTTTTCTTTCACCTATTTACAAATGTCTTCGTATTCATATTGTCATGATAATCGGCTGATTTTGATTTTGATGAAAACACAAGATCTACTTCCTCAATAAAACCATGTTTTCCTCCTGCATGCACTATAACATATCTCTTTTCCCCGTTATCGATGTGTTTTATGGATTTTATACTCTCGTCCTGCCAAATTCGTTTGATACCTCTTTACCAAAAATCCTTGTTTCGTCTAAATAAACAAAGGAAAAACATTTTTTAAACTTGTTTAAAAAATAGTTTCTTAAAAATTTTATTCTTTTGTGAATGACACTAGATCTTCGAGAAGATTTTAGTTTATTAGAAGAAATATTAGATTATTTTTTCAATTATTTATTTTCATTTATATTAAAAATAGTATATTTCTTTTTATTACAATTGTAGTACCTAATAAAGTAATAAAATAATGTAATATCACGACACGCCTGTTTGGTGTTTATATTTCACCGAAACCCAATAGACGTCATTGTATTTATTTGTAGGAGCGTTTGCGTAAAAATTTTTGTTATACAGTCGTATATTCGTGGAATAACCTATATATTATAACCAATTTGATAGACAACGCGCAATAATCGAGCAGGGTACAGGAAGAAGAAAAAAAGAAAGAAAAGGACAGAAAATAATATAAATAATAGTGAAAACAAGAGAAGAGACTGGAAATTATAAAAAAAAATATGTAAAATATTGTAAATCTTATTTAAATAAGTTAACCGAATAAATATTTGTTATGTTAAATTACCTTCCTTCGCCATATTAAATTCCCTTCCACACTGGAATTTATTATTGATCCCAAAGGTGTAAATATGCCCTTTATTAGTTAGTGTAACTGCGTGAGCTTTTCCCAACGCCACTTGAGTAACAAACTCTCCTTTTAAAAGTCCTACAATTCCTGTCACTGGATCTGCGTGTGTGGTGTCTTTACCGAACATCAGCAGCTCTCCTTCTTTGTTTATAAGCGCCGTTGTGCCATTATTGCAAGCTACATAGACGATATGTTGGCCGTCTACTTTTATCATCTTCTTCGGTTTTACAGGTTTAGGTTGACGACGAATTTTGTTCTGATCGCCGTCTTCTCCTCGACGAGCTGTACCTGAAAAAAAAATAATAACTTTCGACATATTCAAAGTAATGGGTATAACTACGAAACCCTTCCCATATCAGTTGACCCGCCTATGGAATATGCAGATTTAGTCCAGGCTGTGGGGGAAAAGAATGGGTGATTTTACACTGTAATCGAGGAATTTATGTAATGTGGCCTAGGTTGTAAAGGCAACCTCAGGAGCAATCCCCCAGTTCATTCAACAAAAAATGTTTGGTTATTGTTTATTTATGAGCGTTTATAGGTGCAAAATACGTATTTTTTGAGTTTTTTTCATTTTTGGCCTAAAGCAAGTGTTGTAGAATAGAATAAAAATATGCTTTATTGTCACTGAAAATTATTGAACACTTTTATGAACAAAGCTAAAAAATTAATCAGTCAAATAGTACAAAAAGTATAAAAGAAAAACAAATATAATAAAAAAACAGAACAATACAATTTTAAATTAGTAAAATTATTGTATAACTTACATAATTTGTACAGACAACAAATGAAACAAATTGTAGCCACTGCTTGAGACACCCAAATGTAATTATAAACAATACTAATTTTGTTTCTTTGCTATACATTAATAAACGCGTCAACTGAATAATATGGTCTTTCAGACAGATAGATTTTTTAGCACCATCTCACTTATTTAAATTAAAAATTGTAAATTCCCCAAACTGCGAATGCGGAGAATATGGCACACTAGAACATATGATATTAAATTGTAGTAAAAATAGAATAAAGACCAATGTTTTTATGGAAACCATTATAAAAATAAAAATTTTAGTAAAACCCATCAACCTTTATGGGTTAATAGTTTCTAACAATTTAGAAGTTTATAAGTTGCTGTATCAATACATAAGTAGTTTAAAAATAAGAATATGAAACAATAATTTATAAAGACCAATGTATACCAAAACTTGTATATAAATGAAAAAAGAAAAAAAAAATAATAAAAAAAATAAAAAGACAAAAATAAAACAAAATAAAAAAAGAAAGCATTTCAACAATAAAAAAATATATATTAGACAATATTAATAAAAAGAAATACAGAAAAAATATTGAAAATATTAAAAAAAAATAAAACAAAAAAAATTAAAAAAAAATAAAATAAATAAAAAAACCACTGCTTGCGGAATTGGATAATACTGGATAAACAACCACTGGGCATTGGATGCATGGATACGAAACTGGATACCTTCTACTAGAAAATTGTATACAAAATTGTATAAAATAATAAAAAAAAATAAATAAATAAATAAAAAATATGATGTTTGTAAGTTTACTAATTGTATAATGTAGAATTTTTAACGTAGTGATATTGTTTTAAAAATATTAATAATGTAAATTTTAAATATTAATAGATTTTATTTTAATCATTGTTAAGAATCAAAGTCAAACATGATTAGGCGAATGAAACCATATGTTTCGCAGTCAATATTCCAAGCACACACACATAGATAGATTTTTGTCATCTTACGAAACTTAATGAAAGATGTTGCGGATTTAATTTCTCTTGGAAGGTGATTATAAAGTTTTTTTGCACTATATAGAATAGAATTCTTTACTAGCTGAGTGGACGGGATCGGTAAATAAACGTTACAATCCGAATTTCTAATGGAGTAGCCATGGTCAGGTCTATCGGAAAAAATGTTTAGATGCTTTCGAATCAAACAAACCGTTTCCAAAATAAATAAAGAGGGAAGCGTCAAAATTCCGTGAGTTTTGAAGTAGGTCTTGCAATTAGTTGTTTGTTTCAGACCAAATAGATAACGAATTGCTCTTTTTTGCAACTTAAAAATAGTATCAAATTGGGCCGCTGTACTAGAACCCCAAAATGGAAGCCCATATCGAAGATGGGACTAGAACAATGAGAAATATGCCATTTTGACAGAAGACAAATTTAGTTCCTTTGAAACAGATCTTATTGCAAAGCAAGCTGAGGCTAGTTTCTTCCTTAAGGAGTCAGTATGCAAGGATCATTTAAGATCACTGCCGATAAGAATACCTAGAAATTTCACGGAATTAACGATACTGATTTGACTCTCATTCAAAAGCAAGGGTTGTAGGACTTCTTTATTAGATAATGCTACTGTCTTATCCACGTTAAAGCAAAGTAAGTTGGAGTCTGACCAAGCCTTGATTATAAGCAAATCAGAGGTTATAATTGAATGAAGCGTTGAAATATTAGAGTTGCTCCAAGTAAGTAATACTGGTATCATCAGCAAATAGAAAAATTTTCCCTTTAATTTCATTAATAAAAAGTAAAAAAAGAATGGGACCTAATACTGAACCTTGCGGTACTCCACACTCAATATCTTTTCAACTAGAGTCGGTGTCTTTTATTCTAACCAATTGTTTCCTACCTACCAAGTAAGTTTTGAACCAATTCAAAGACACACCCCGAATTCCATAGAAAGTTAATTTTTTTAATAGAATGTGATTTACGCAGTCAAAGGCTTTGGAATAGTCGCAGAAAATCGTTTATTATTGGCCAAGTTTCTTTTGAAATATTTTTGGAGCTTGTTAGGCGATTATGAAAGTAGGATTTTTTGGCTACTTTGAGTAGTTTTAGATAGCATTTTCTATACTTATTGATATAATCAGAGATGGGGATACTGTCATTAAATTTTTTAATATATAGCAGAGAACGCATATTTTTCGCAGATATGCGAATGCCTTTGGTAATCCAAGGTTTGTAATGTTTTGTCCCGATGTTTAATAGAGGAAATGATTTATTAAAAATAGATACTAGTCTATTTAGAAAATCACTAACATTACAGTCAATGTCCCCAGAAGAAAAACTCCAGTCAGAAGTCAAGCATGAATTATAGAGTTTACGAAAGTTTTGAGTGAGAAAAATCCTACCTAATCATCGGGTTTTTATACCGCTTCATGATCAGAAAGCCCCCCACTAATAACTGTAGAATGGACATCAGCAAGTGGAAAATCAGAAACCACATAATCAATTGTCGAGGATGATGTTTTTGAGATTCCTGTTGGAGAATTAACATGCATTGTGACATTGTGAGACCATATGATTCAAAAATAGTTACCAAAGACAGTTGGGTCGCACAAACAGCAGCGTAGTCAATATTAAAATCACCACATAAAATTTGTACGTCACCAATGTAATGGGTCATTTCTGTATAGATTATGAAAGTACTCTAAAAGACCTTCAATTTGAGCCGGTATACGTTCAATTTAATTTATTGGTTATTACAAAAATGACGAATGACGGTAAAAATTAAAAAAACGTAATATTTATTGCAAAATTGCTTTGTTTTTATTTCAGATATATTACATTCAAGCCTAGTAGGCATAAATCGCTTAATCTGTTGCTAAGTTACCTACGTTAATTTGTTTATCCCACGACCTTCAACTTTGAACTTGCCAAAAAAAAAGGTAGAAGGCTATTTCTCGTTTCATTCTCTTTCTAAAGCCGTAAATATTTTTATTCCACAGGAAAATAATGAAAAAAAAAATTATCCCGTTAAAAACAATTATTTATGAAGTTGTAAAATTGCAGTTATAAACATTTAGAGCTGAAGCGCTCCCTATGTACCCTACAAATTTCTAATTTGCAAATTATTATAGCTGACTTTAAGACGATGATTAAAAAAAAAGAGTTTTCTACGACCAATAGGAGTCGAGTTAGCATATTTTTTTTTTGATCACAGAGGCTTTATTGATAACAATTAAGAAATGAATCTGGCGTCATTCACTACTTAAAAACCTCAGAAGTAGTGGTTGGGATGACTTTGTGCAACGAGAAAAAAACTGAATCGGAAAATTTTGTAATACGTCGGTGAAAAATAAGCCGATTTCGATGATTTTTTTTAATCTGGGGTAGCTCGTCGAAATAACAACATCTGGAATATTTTCACCCTTAAAAAACCACCCCCACCCCCCTAAAATGGTTTTTTAATATTCAATTTTTTTTCAATGTTACTTTTACAATACTATTAAACGTAATCTATTACCAAACTATTATTGAGAATATCCCCATGAAATATGCCCATTTCTAAAAACATTTAATATTCTAAAATATAGACTACTATTAACTATGTATTTCAGTATTTATCTTTTTTTTTAAATACTTACTCTGCCTCGCTGTGTAATCTTTTATCAGTGAAAAATTATGTTAAAGTAAAGTTCAAATGATTAAAAGTTCTATTAAAAAACAATCTATTTTCCAAAAAAAAAACTCAAAAAAATTGATTTTAAAAACTTTTGTCAAACTAGATTTTTAGTACAATTTCATGAGAAATTAAATAATTGGTTTAATACATTAAATTAAACATCATATATATGTACATCTTATATTGCAAATTACTTTGATAGAAGAAATAAATTAGTAAAACAAAGATATAAACAATAAAATAATTGTAATTTATTTATATGGTTTTAAAATGAGATTCAATATTTTTATTTATTTTTCTCTATTTAGTAGGTTGTACAATTTCCTCAGAATCATATAACAATTCATCCAAAACATCCATCTCACTCTCACATTCTTTTTCTGCGACATCTAGTTCATATTCAGCAGTATGACAATTTTCGCAACTCTCTCCATTACAATTTTCGCACATTCTCGTACATTTTAGGACATGCTTACGGCATCCGCATTGTTTGCCACATGCGGTTTCGGTGCATGCCGTTTTTTTGGAATATAGATTGTTTTTTAATAGAAATTTTAATCATTTAATTAATTAATGATATTTACCATTCTTTAAAAAAATTCTAGAGATAGTTTTTGTTTATAATTTCTCTGTTTCTGTTTATAATTTGATCTTTCGATCAAATCAATTTAATCTTAATATAATAAATAAACTGACACAAGTTAAAAGTGTCTACTTAATGTTGGTTTTATAATAAGTCAAAAGAAAATAGATATTTTAAAAACAAATTTTCAAAATAGTATACAAA